TAAATTCTGGAATAGCCAATTTCAGATGTAGGATCTTCCTTCCAATGAACCACGTCAGAATTGACCGTAGAAATCAAAAAGTGCGTATCATAGTTGTAACCAACCTCTCCCTTTCTTACGGCTTCCAAAGACGTTGGTCCACATTGATAAAAACCACCGGACAGTTCCTGTGGAGTGGCGTCAATAGCTTGCCACCCACCATAACCGGAAGGAAGATCCGGTCTCGCAATGTAAACATCATTCCAAACGTGGAAATTCCAAATGCTATCGATAGTTTTACTGTCGTCTAATTTGTTGTTTTCATCATAAAAATTGTCGATCGTGAAAGTATTGTCGTAATCGTGGGCAGAGTCAAAGTTTGAAACTACTCTAGAAGGAATTCCCAATGCTCTACATACTAAAAAAATAATAATAATTACTTTTGTTAAAATATTAATAAACCGCAATGATTTACTTGTTGTTACTAAGGCCGCAAAAACCCAACATTGGCCATATCTAACAGGTGTCTTGGTGTCGTAATATTCCTGCAAAATTGGTACTGAACCGGTCCAAGCTGACGGAAGGGTACCATCATTATCTTTAAAATCTCTCCATTTACCAAGAAGAACACCATTATCATCATTGGCATTTACCATTTTGGATACCATGCGACATATCTGAATTGGATCACCAAGACTAAAAAAAATAGTATTTTAGGTTTTACGCAAGAGTCAAAATTAAAATGTCTCACCTTGAATGTGGCATGTTGGATCTATTAAATATCATCATTATGGTTGGCAAAACAATGTCGTCAAATTGTCCAAAAACCCATGCTCTCGACCCAGGGTTATTGGAACTTCCAACCCATATTTTACCAGCATCAGCTAACACATACTCGTCCAACAGTTTCGTTTCCGGCATATATGTTGAATCATCTGTAAATAATATTTTAGAACCTAAACTTTTTAAAAATTTATATAAATACTAACGGCTATTCCAAGGATTGCACAAGAAATAAATATCGTTGACGTAATCAAATTTTTCAGGGGTAGTTTCAGACGTTAATGTTCTAACTTGCAACTTCCAAAGACCAATGGGAATATTATGCGGAGTGCATACCTTAAAAAGTAATTTTTAAGTTTGGTGGATATAAATTTAAATCAAATATTACCTCAAAACCTAAACACTTGTCGTCTTTTTTAAGAATTTCACAGGACCAATCAGTATTTTCAGCACAAATCTTTCCGGTAAAATCCACTTTTAGAACTCCTTGAGTGCCTTTGAGAGCATTAGGATTCGAACCATAGTTGAAAATTAATTTGACAATGTCCTTATTTTCATCGAACGATCCATTAGAAAATTTGAGTTGCATTTTGAATGTTTGTCCTCTTCGTAGAACTGCTGTGGGATTTTCATCATCATGAACAGTTTCATATTTGTAAGTCCTGTGCTTTTTTGCGTTTTCTTTTGGAAACAAACTGATTCCTTCTACTTCCAGGTTGTACTTCATTTTCACTACAGTTAAAAATATTTATTAATATGTATTAAAAAAAAAGTGTTTACTACTTACCAATAAAATAGGAATGTTACTTCTTGTGTTGATAAAGAACCAAGTAATTTTTCAATTATGATTTGTATGCAATGCTTCTGCTTTATATAGCACTTTTCTGATCTTTATCAAATTTTTTTTTAAATCCCTAATTATTATTGGGAAACCCTTTTGTGTACTAAATTGTTTTATATAATTTACTTATTTCGGCCCTGGTAAATATTTGATAATATAATATATAATTAATTAAATTTACAATTAAATACATACAGATTCCACTAATTTAAACATTGTGGTAAATTGTTTAAACTTGAATTAAAAATAGTAATCCGCAAAAAATAATCCAAGAATACACCACATATTTATAAGAATTGTATGACACCGTTTTAAAAATAAAGTTCGTCAGAAAATACACCTGAGAACCATGTCAACCTCAGCTGCCTTATTCTATAAGTCCGGACCTCTAAACTTCACTAGGCACTGGGTCTGTAGCCATCCCAACTCAATTTTTTTAAATGGCATCACCTTCTTTGTGATACCTGAGGTATCATACCTCATTGAAAAAATTCATTCAAAATGCATAATACACAAGAACTAATAATAATAAAGAATAACAAATCAGATCCAAATACTAAAAACATTTATTTCAGCAATAATGTACTTTTTATCCCAATGTAAATGTTAACAAACAAAATTGTCGTTATTGGGGCTATATAAATCCTCATCTCATCAGAGAAAATCATACCCAGTTTCCTGAAAAACTTAATGTCTGGGCAGACATTGTTTTATTGGTCCCTTATTTATTGACCAAAATTTTGTTTTTCAAATTTATTTTGAAACAATACAGCCACTAATAATAAATGAACTAGAAAATCAAAGGCTTGAGATAAAAATACATATAGTAACAGTGGAATGGTAGAAGAGGACCATTAGAATGGCCTCCCAGATCTCTAGATCTGACACCATTAGACTTATGGTGTCACTTAAAAGCTATTCCAAGACAAACATTTCAAAATGTGAATCACGAAGCAAATAAACATTGAAGGAGGGCTGCTGTTGGGCCTTATTTGACTCCAAGACATCGCTGAGCCTGGAGAAATTTCGCACAAGACCATGCGAATTGGACTAGGGAGCAATGGGGTAACGTACTCTTTACCGACGAGTCTAGATTTTGTCTTTTAGCACGATGGACATCAACGAGTACATAGACGTCAAGGAGAATGTTTTCTGGACTCCACGGTTAGTAAAGTGCGAACTTTTAGAGGTGGATCGATAATGGTTTGAGCTGGTCTAAATTTGAATGGGAAACTTTAAATGCTACACATTTCTCCAATAAAAGTTAAAGTTTATTCAATAAAATATGTTTGGAGCAATTGAGGGTAAGGGATTGATGTTATTACAAATATTATATTCAGCCCATAACAAAATATTATCAAGTTAAAATTACTTGTTATAGAGTGAATGACTCTTTATATTTAAACCTAATGAAAATGTGTACTTCCTTAAAAATTTTAGAAATGATTGCATTCAAAGTTTATCTGATCAAGGTAAAATTAACAATATTTAATTAAATATAAAATTGATTTATATTAAAAGTTATAATGCCTCAACCAAAAATTAAAAACAAATGAAATAAGAATAGTCTTTGTTTCTTTTAATGTTTATGATTTTTATTCCAATGGAAACTAAGGTAAAGTAAGTTATTACTGTCTTATAGTGAATACCAATGTTTTCACTGTCTTGAAAAATACTTGTTATTTTCCCAATTATCATTCCCATTTTTTCAATGCGGCCTATATTCAATTTAATGATTGCTAAAATTCATACAAACGCGCCAGGGCATCCCCTGCCACACCACACATCGGCAACCTGCAATCACTTTCGTGCCTATAGTTAAATGTGATCAATCGGTATTCCTGGTGACGCCTATTGATGTAATTGTATGAGTTATCTCTGGATGGGGTAGTGTTTGGTTGTTTGTTGTATTTGCTAATTTCTTGGGGATTGTACTTCCTAATCCCGAATTTTCAAGGTAAGTTGTACATGTTTTTTAATTGTATGTCCGCCATGCATTATCCAGTAATTTAATTACTCAATTATATCTAAATAATAACAAAAAGGTAAATGTGTACTCATATAAGTATCTACCATGGACACAGTTTATCTGGATATTCGGTGTCATGCCTTAAAATAGCTAGTTTGCTTAAATGGACGAAGTTTTTATTTATTTATAAAAAAACTTCTCATAGTCTGTTAGTACCATCATGATATCCTTGCAGGGCGTCCTGAAAGTATATATTGCTTTAGGACTTTCAGCAATTCTAACTAAATTCCCATTTCGTTTTAGAATAACCATGTGCCATGGCAGACAGATCCTGCACATCCAGTACAGTAACTGTTGCTAGTGATGGGTCAGCAACTTTCTTAGAGTCTAATATCACCAACACTTCTAGTGGGTTCCTAATAGTTCCTACAGAAAACAGAACAATTTCATTTTATGGATCGAAAAACCTGTGTACAAAAGACTACCAGAAGCAGATTCCAGAATTCATTTTATTTAAAGTTCATATTAATGTATTATACAACTAATATTTGTACAAGAATATACATATTTAAAAGAAATAGAGCTTTGATTCCATTTAATGTAGCCATTCATTAGAAACCATAACTTTATTTATGCCAATGATAGTTTTTCATTCAGATTCATTGTGGCTTCAATTAAATAACAATTTAATTCAATAATTTCTTATGTTTTAACCAACCAAGTTTAATACAGATTTAATAGAATCACAATTTAATTCAATGACTTCTTATGTTTGAACTTCTTTTAAGCAGGTTTGCACAAATAAAAGTAAGACAATAATTCATTTGATCATAGCTGTAATTCAGGTATTGCAAATATATTATACCATTGGCTCAATGGTTACCCCATTCTCAATATAAAAGCTTTTTCTCTGTGTAGTATCCCCATCGATGACATTTTAGGACCTATTTGGCAACTTTTTGAAAATCAACTAGGTCAACATTTTGTACTATAGCAAGGCAAAGCTAGTCCGCATGTTGCGCAAATAGTTTTAAATTTTTTGAAGAACGAAATTTAAGTGTTAAGAAGTGGCCAGCCAATAGTCCCAATTAAACATTTTGGGAGCATTATGAAAAGGCATTTTTATAACCGCCAAAGACCAATACCCTTCAAGAGCTTGTCATAATGGTACAAAAATAATTTCATTTCTCAAAATCTAATAGACCAGCCAATAGAGCGCTCTGATTGGTCCACTTTTGAAAGATGAGGTAATACATTTAAAATTGTAATTAAACCTTTTTAGAAACCTTGTGGTTCATATTTTGTATTAAAATCCAAGAAGAAAAAACATGAATTTTATGTAAATATTTATTTATTAAAATTAATACGCATACTGTAGACTACAGTGCAGATACAACTTTACAAAATCAATATAAAATTTTAAAATAGTTATGCCATTATTATAGGAGTATATATAATATTGGGTTTAACTGTGGCTTTAACTGAGCCTGAAATATCAAATAGCTCATTGGAGCTAAAAGTGGCGACAAGTGTCAACTCTCCTTTGATTTTCGGGACCACTGTAACATCAACTTCCACATTTTTTCCAGGACCTACATCGGAACAACGCACCACTTGATTTCTTAACATCGAGGAACCAGCCACGTTGATTTTGCAATCTGTAAGCCATTTCTTCATGGGGTTAACGAATGATAGCCTTACCAAAGTAGGTTCTCGAGCTATAATGTCCGTAGGAATGTTTATATTTATTTTGGGTTTGATGATTTGGATGTCGTCTTTGCCGAGCCAAGTTTGGCCAGTTTCTTTTACAGTGGCGATAGCGTCCAACTTGATTATTCCGTGCTCGACCAGTTTGTCCATGTATTGATCAGATTTTACGGTCATAGACAGCTGTGCTGTTGATTGTGGTTTCATTTTCAACTCTTTATGGGACTCTTTGATGGTGTGAGATTTTACTCCGGTATAGTAAACACTGCCAGAGGATAGGACTGCATTAATAGTACTGAAAAATATTGCATTAGTAAATATAAATATTGCTTAAGAATTTGATTTCTTACCGGACTTGGTCGCTTTTGTTTTCAATATTAATTATCAAGTCGACGCCGTCTCCGATTTTTACCTTTTCCAAGTTCTTTAATTTGAACTCAACATCGCGAATTTCAGTGTGTGGCATTTCCCACCTTATTCTTGCTAAAGGATTATGTCTTATTGAGTTAAACAGTTGCAATCGTTCAGCTTTGGTGCCTTCGGGCATCTTGTACTGGTTGATCACATCCTCACAATCCTCATTACCATATGGGTCATCGACCATGGGTTTTTTAGTTAAAAGAAATCGCCCAACACTGCAAATTGTATATGAAATTTCCGTTTCAGTTTAATTGTAAATAACAACTTACGCCCTTGTATCTGAATAAATTCTGGAATAGCCAATTTCAGATGTAGGATCTTCCTTCCAATGAACCACGTCAGAATTGACCGTAGAAATCAAAAAGTGCGTATCATAGTTGTAACCAACCTCTCCCTTTCTTACGGCTTCCAAAGACGTTGGTCCACATTGATAAAAACCACCGGACAGTTCCTGTGGAGTGGCGTCAATAGCTTGCCATCCTCCGTAACCGGAAGGAAGATCCGGTCTCGCAATGTAAACATCATTCCAAACGTGGAAATTCCAAATGCTATCGATAGTTTTACCGTCGTCGAATTTGTTGTTTTCATCATAAAAATTGTCGATCGTGAAAGTATTGTCGTAATCGTGGGCAGAGTCAAAGTTTGAAACTACTCTGGAAGGAATTCCCAATGCTCTACATACTAAAAAAATAATAATAATTACTTTTGTTAAAATATTAATAAACCGCAATGATTTACTTGTTGTTACTAAGGCCGCAAAAACCCAACATTGGCCATATCTAACAGGTGTCTTGGTGTCGTAATATTCCTGCAAAATTGGTACTGAACCGGTCCAAGCTGACGGAAGGGTACCATCATTATCTTTAAAATCTCTCCATTTACCAAGAAGAACACCATTATCATCATTGGCATTTACCATTTTGGATACCATGCGACATATCTGAATTGGATCACCAAGACTAAAAAAAATAGTATTTTAGGTTTTACGCAAGAGTCAAAATTAAAATGTCTCACCTTGAATGTGGCATTTTAGATCTATTAAATATCATCATTATGGTGGGCAAAACAATATCGTCAAATTGTCCAAAAACCCATGCTCTCGACCCAGGGTTATTGGAACTTCCAACCCATATTTTACCGGCATCAGCTAACACATACTCGTCCAACAATTTCGTTTCCGGCATATATGTTGAATCGTCTGTAAATAATATTTTAGAACCTAAACTTTTTAAAAATTTATTTAAATACTAACGGCTATTCCAAGGATTGCACAAGAAATAAATATCGTTGACGTAATCAAATTTCTCAGGGGTAGTTTCAGGCTTTAATGTTCTAACTTGCAATTTCCAAAGACCAATGGGAATATTATGCGGAGTGCATACCTTTAAAAGTAATTGTTAAGTTTGCTGTAGATAAATTCAAATAAAATATTACCTCAAAACTTAAACACTTGTCGTCTTTTTTAAGAATTTCACAGGACCAATCAGTATTTTCAGCACAAATCTTTCCGGTAAAATCCACTTTTAGAACTCCTTGAGTGCCTTTTAGAGCATTAGGATTCGAACCATAGTTGAAAATTAATTTGACAATGTCCTTATTTTCATCGAACGATCCATTAAAAAATTTGAGTTGCATTTTGAATGTTTGTCCTCTTCGTAGAACTGCTGTGGGATTTTCATCATCATGAACAGTTTCATATTTGTAAGTCCTGTGCTTTTTTGCGTTTTCTTTTGGAAACAAACTGATTCCTTCTACTTCCAGGTTGTACTTCATTTTCACTACAGTTAAAAATATTTATTAATATGTATTAAAAAAAAAGTGTTTACTACTTACCAATAAAATAAGAATGCTACTTCTTGTGTTGATAAAGAAGCAATTATGATTTGAATGTGATCCATTTTTGCATTATATATAGCACTTTTCTGATCTTTATTAATAAGTTTATTTTAATATTGGCTAATTTAAATCATTAAACCACTAATGTGCGTAATGAGGGGTTTGCTTTGCCATGGTAGGTACAGTCCTGTAGTAAGCCAAAGAGGTTCCCAAATATTGTTGTAAAATTGAATTTTATGAAAAAAAGGTTTTTGGGGGATATTGCAGGGTGTCAGATCACACCATATTGGTGGCCAATTACGTGATATTATTATCAACAGTCATGAGGGGCATTTGTCCGATATTTGTTCCTTAATTAATCAGAAGGTGTCAACATAAAAATAAAAAAACCTTATTATGCATTTTATTACCATATAAAACCCGATGTTCTTATTGGGCCAACCTCTATTTAATGCAATTTTATATAATTCACTTATTTCGGTCCTGCTAATAAATATTTGGTAATGTAAGTAAATAGATAATATACTTAAATTTGCGGTAAATAATCCGTAGAAAATGATTCTTTATTGAAATCTTTTAAAAATCAGAATTTAAAAATAACGTTTCAAAAATTTTAATTTAAAATTTGTTTAAAATAACAAAGTTATGAATCAGCTGCATTATTTAAACAGTTTCCATAGCAACCGTTCTTAGATATTTAATAATAAATATATTTTCTCTGTTTAAAAAATATCTCTAGGTTTTACTAAAAAAACTAAAACCGTTTTAGTTTCTAAAATAAAAATTCGCGTTTGCTCGTGATATTTTATACTTTTTTGAAATTATCGTAAATATCCCTTGATATACATATATTAGACGGTTGAAAAGGAATTAAAAACGTCGGGTTCAATAGTAAAATACAATGGTGGTTTGTTCTGCATTTGGTTGTAAAAGTTATATAAGTTACAGTGGCAAAAAATACTGGAAAGTTGCGGTAGACACGTGTATTAAATATTTTGTAAGCACAAATTTTATTTTAATCAGAAAATCTAACAAATTTACTGAAATTAGGAGGAAGCGTGTGACCGGATGTTATTATATGATTTGTACTGCAATACTTCCCACGTTGCATTTGTTTCTAAAAATGGTTGAAAAAATAATTTAATTTTCAGATTATGCTGCAATTTTTACAACGATTTCATTTTTTCTGCTCATTAATTCTCCAAATACCTATTTGTAACCTAATAAAAAGTAAATGGTATATGGTATATACATAATATATATTATGTTTCAAGTCACGAATTTAAATTAGGCACGAGCGAGCTTGCAGGCAAATGTTTAGTTAAATAAGTGCCTTTAAACTAAAGTAGTCAAGAAAAAAGTTCTTAGTGGAAGAAGTATAGGTAGTTCTTTTGAAAACAAATACAAAATCTCTTGAATGTTTCTTCACGGAAAGAAATTTTGAATACAGTAAGGTAGTATTACAATCAAATTTTTGATCAATATAGCGCCAATCCAATATTACTCTCTAAAAATGAATTAGTCAAAAATAACTAATTTAATAGTTAATAGTGGCTGCTTTTTTACTTGTGCCATGGTTAACCATGGAATACCATGGTATCCCAAAATTTAACAGCCAATTATTATGTAAAATTTTCTTTTGAATCCGAAAAAGTCGTCAAAGGTTAAAAAAGTGGAACAGTTTTTGAGATATAGTCAATTTTCCATTTAATATGGAATTGACTATATCTCAAAAACTGTTCTACTTTTTTAAATTTTGACGGTATTTTCTGATTCAGGGGAAAATTTTACATAAGAATTGGCTGTTAAATTTTGGGATACCATTGTATTCCATGGTTAACCACATGGCACAAGTGAAAAAGCAGCCACTATTAACTATTAAATTAGTTACTTTTGACTAATTCATTTTTAGAGAGTAGACTAATATCAATAATTCATTCGATTGAATTATTTGCTAGGCTTAAATGTATCAAACCGTGATAAATAGCAGCAAATAAGTTTTATAAATCACTACAAAATTTAGAATAATTATAGTAAAAATTAAATTAAATTCGCCTACGATTTTCTATAATCTACATAATATTTTCTTAAATTTATCAATTCTTGGATTCAATTAAGCACTTTTTAGGTCAATTTAATCTTTTTTTTTATAGTAGGTACTACTTAGTTATAAAAAAAATTGGCTAAATTAAGAATAATTAGTTTATCAGATCCTTTGATTGATTCGTGCAAAATTTATCTAAAAAGTAACTAAAAAATATATTGAATTTATTATTTTAATCACTTCAATATTTGATTATTGACTGGAATATTGATCTTCGTAATTAGCTGTGATAGTGGGGTAGGTAAAGAATATATAGGTACTAAATTTTGTGTTTAATAAATATTCATTTATTTTAGCTTACAAACTATAAAAAAAAATAACTCAATAATGGTTTAGTTTAACAAATGTGTTTTATGTTTAATTGACTAATATATTATTATTATTATTATATATAATGTATAATTTTTAAAGTTTTAAAATATTTGCGTTTAAAACCCTAAAAAACAACTGTTTAAATTTAATTTAACGGCATCAAATTAATCAAAGATGGTGGCTGAAGATATCCCACGTGGTGCGCACAACAGTTTTTGTTCGAATGCCAACGAAATCGAACAGACCTTCTTGTGTGGATTGTGATCACGATTTTAATATTATCCATGTCCCTGACTTCTACTTGACAGTGAAAATGCTTGTTAGGAAGTTCCTACTAGGAACATACCTAAAAAAATGGTTTATTTGTTACTTACCTATATTACTCTTAATAACCAAAAACGTGCAAATTAATAAAATTGATTATACCTACATATATCGCAAAAACTGAGAGCGAAAATTTACTGAATTTTAGAAAAAGACCTATAAAATGTGTACCAACATTAATCAAATATAAAACTAATTCTATCCAACTTTTGATACTACTTACTAATACTAGTAAAAATAAAGTTAAATCCATTTAGTTTTTGTTTAAATATTATTTGATGAAATTAATTCAAATAGGAATATAAAAATAAAATCCAAGAGTTGATCTTATCTATAGATATATCTTTTCTTTGAAAATTAAGCTTAACGTTACATAAAGCCAATCTTAATGTTTGATTGGTTTAAAAAAAAACCTTTTCTAGTTCCTAGAAAAAAATTTATTCGATTTAGCTGTCTATCTAAGGATGTTAATTTTAATTTAATGCATTAAGACAAAAGACAAAATTTATCCAAAATGAATTAGCAACTAATTAGTTTTTTCTTGATTTATTCTATTTTAGATTAAACTAATTAGTTACTAATTTATTTTGGATAAATTTTGTCTTTTCTTAAATTAATAAATGGATTTGATTTACTTTATCTTAACATTTCTTTCCGTGTTCTTTCAACCAAGTAACACGCACACCGTTTGCGGTGTAACAAGACAAATTTCCTTTCTTAGAAAGTTCCAAAGCATTTCAATTAAGAATGCAGTTTTCTTTTTAAAATTTTCATTTCTATTAAGAGAATATTTTTTCAGTGTGGGAGTGTAAAAAAACCTTTAATTGTAATTTTATTAGGATATATTTTTATAAAAGTGGTTATGAATGTAAACGTTTTTGGCATTTATGTGGACGCCACTTTTAAGTTTAAATTTCTTCTTCGAAGAACTTTTATCACCTTCATCCGCAGAATCTTCAGATGCCGAATGAATAACAAACTCTTCTCTGCTTAAATGTATCGTGACATTACTCAATACTGCCTCCGTAGGTTTCCTTCTAAAATTAATCCTGCATTGGGTGTCTTCAATTGGATTTGTAGTTGGGGTTTGTATTTCGTTTCTTCGTTCTCTATCTGATATTTCAAATACAGTATCTGGATTTTCTTGACTTGTTTCTTCCGGTATGTTGGTTAAAAGCAACTCCTCACTTCTTTCATTTCGATATTTTTCAAGTAATCGTAACTTTTTGCTGAATGGCATCGGTTTCAATAGTAAACCTTCACAAACCGAATTGTTAAACGTTGAATTGGCTCTTTCGTTTTGCGTTATCGGCCTTACAAAGGTGTTATAGCTGTTCGGTAGTCTTGATAGGTTTTTGCTTATATCATTATTCGCCACATCCAAATTTTCTTTCTCGTACGATTCCAGTTGTTGCTTGGTTAGTCTTGTCAGAACAATAAAAGGTTTTCGTACGTTTGCTGATGGGTCTCTCGATCGAAGTAGTCTCTGTTTGAATTGGGGTTTGGGCTTACAATTTCTACCTCTCCGTACCATTTTGACAATGAAGTTGTAAATGACAGTTACCCAATTTGGCATCTTCTGGCATTGGTAAATTGATTGATTGACTAATGGTCAAATTATTTGAATTATTTTGGAAATTTTCCCATTTTTTTAAATGGACGAGTTTCATTATTCTTTAATTCCATAAATGAATAAATACACTACTTTAAGCATATTGGTTTCCTATACAGTTTTATCAAACATCCAAATATGCTGTTATGGAAACAAAGTAAACAAGGCATCTATAGCGAGCTAAAACAGTTCGTGTCAAATTAAAATTAAAAATAATTAATAAACTGGTGAGTTGTGAGTTTTGTGTAATAATGGAACCTAAAAGAAATAATTTTTAAAAATATAGATTTTCTTCAAAATACTAGAGAATAGTTAACAAAGTTGAAAATAATTATTTATCTACAAATCTTAAAACATTCTTCCAACATTTAATTAATTTGGTAAGCATCTATAGGTTTTATCACAAAACAGGTGCATTTTATAAAAGTAAAGCAGGGCTGCAACTAAAATCAGGTTTGTTATTTTAAAAATAACAAGTTAGTTTTCTTCTTTATCTCTTGTTAGTTGAATTAAACTAATTTTGGTAATTATTACCTAACTATGAGTACATTATAATATAACCGAAATTAAACTAAAAGCAAAGAGTTATAAATGACCAATAGGTAAATAAAGTAGTCAAATTAAACACAATAAAATAACCAAATCGTTTAACTAAACTTGCAAATTTTAACTTCTTTTTAACCAAAAGGTACATTAACCAAGAAGTTAAATTTAACTAATAAAACGTTAATTTAACCAGTTTGTTACTTGAAATGTCAATAAATGGTATCACAACATTAAAATAACAAATATAAAATTTAAATAAAAAAGCAATGTAGTACTGGACAGATATTTTTTTGTTCTTTTGATACATATTTGCATATAAAATACTTAAGTAAAAGTTTTCCGGAAAATTGATATCAATGTTAAGTATTTTTCGTAAATACACATAATTATCTAATATCTTGGAATTTAAGTAAATGTGTGGTTTTAATAATAAATAACTTCAACGAGATTAAAATATAATATTTTAATTATACGTGGTATCCCACAACTATCTTATATCTTGGAATTTAAGTGTGTGGTTTTAACAATAAATAAGTTCAACGACATTAAAATATAATATTTTAATTGCAATTGAAAAAAATGCTTTAAAGAGCCTACGAATTTTTACATTGAACGAAAAATTAAAACCAGCACGTTATAAAAATGTTGAGAAAAATGCACCGTTTGAATAAAAAATCATTATTTCGTAAACTAAAAAAATTCTTGAAAATTTTGGGGGATGTTGAAAAATAAATGTAATGAGCAATATCATTCTCATTATAGTGCTATTAATTCGTCATTGTTGATAAAATATATTATTTTTTAATGTGCAAATTAATATCATTGAATTGAATTAAAAGACTAATTTTGTTTAAAAAAATTAAATTATTTCAATAACCGTTAGTTGGTATGAATTTGAATCCCAAAACATACCAAAAATGCACTAAAATATAGTAAAAATGACGAAACCAAATATTTTAAACACTAAAAATTTAGTAATAAATTTTGGCTGGTCTATTTTTTTAAATTCACAGTTTACAAAAAACTTTGTTACTCAACAAATTGTTCATAACAACCTAAAAAATTTACGCCATTAACTTTTGAACAATGACAGATTACGTAGTAACCATGGTACATGGTATAGTAATTTTACTAAATTTACTAAATTTAAAAATGTAAAAATATATGGGGTGTTATATTTGAAGTAACAAAGTTAATGTAATTTCCGGTTAAACCGGACTTGGAATTTTGTTTAAAATATTTTAGAAAAATAGACTTAAATGGATTATAAACGCTTTTAAAATTTTAAACCGATATATTTTTCCCTTCCCCAGAAATTTCTAATGGACCACGAATTTGAAACACCCTGTATATATTTTTCTAGTATTAATCTTCCATATGGAAGATTAATACTAGAAAAAAAATGTACCTATTGAAATTTATATTGAAGTACCTACTCAAAATTTAAATTTGTTTATAACTTAACATAAAATCTCCCAAACATTGGTTTTCTGGGAAATAACTTAATCAACCAAATAACGAAACGCTTTCGTAATTATTATAATGATGAAGTCTTATCATCAACATTTATAATAATTACTAAAAGTAAATAGGTAATCGATGATTCATTTTTATTCATGTGTTATTTTTAGATTTTTTCTTATTAGACAAAACTTCTTCAGATTAAATTCTTCGATATACTTTTTCAAAATTTTCATAACATACCTATTAAAGTAATTAACACCTTGTATGGCTATTAAATTATGGTTAGTACCTATCATTTTCTCTACAAACAATTTGTTTACAATAATATACGCTTTTGTTTACGTTTGCATAGCTACCTGAGGCGAAACAAATTCTAGAATGTTTAGATATTTTAAAATGCTGAGATTGAAAGTTTTTATAAAATTAGTCATTAAATTTATTACTACCTAAATTATTTGAATAAGCTAGATTTTATTAATAAGTTTGTTGCTCATTAGAATATAGTAGGCGGATGAATTTTAATTGACTCAATTAATGGTACAGGGTGATTCATTAATACCTACCTTTGGAATTATTTTTGTTTAAAAAATACCTGAAAAACAAATTTGTGTTTCTGTATTTTTAGAAATACAAAGTTTTATTATTTATAATTTGGTATGTTATGATTCATAAATTATAAAGATTTTTCTAATGACGTTTCAAAGAAATAATTAAAATTTGTTAACATAGGTCAATGATATAAATACCTATATACCTAGACAGGATAGTAGACTTAGACACAATTGGTATAATTTAATCTTTGTGGTAAAAGAAGCGGTTATTGGAAAGAAAGTATTGCGTCACGAGAAACCATTTCGCCTAGATTGAGGCCTCCACTATCAATCTTATCAAAACCGTAATGAAATCGAGAATCTAAACGCATACTTAATGGAATCGCCCTTGTTGGACAATTAGCCGCCGATGAGTCATCAAAGTTGATGTAAATCGCATTTAGAAATGACCGAATAGTTTTGTAGAAAAAGAACAGCAAGCGCCGCTGAGTTGTCCCACTCTTTTTCTGCGCGCATACGTGGCCGACCGAAAACAACATTTATAGAAACTTGGAGGAGGCCGGCTTCAAATCCACAGATCAGTTTTGTCAGTGAAGTGATTCGTTTCGAATAAAAAGGGATTTTTATTAAATTGATCAACATGGCTGTTGGTAAGTACATATGTTACTTGATTATTTATTAACACCCCTACTTATTACTTGTATAACTTGACAAGTTAAACTTGTACCTACATTTGACCTAAATTCTTCGTGGTAGGTATTTGAAATAGTTCTGCCAGTTTTTTAAGTGTTTGGGCTAAATAGTTTACCTACAAGATTTCTTACACAAAAACGATTTATTGAATGTTAAACGTTTTATTTCTTAAAATCAATTTACTTAAGATTGTTTAGTTTACCGGCTTACCGGCGTTTCATAACTTTTTAAAAACTATTTTTAGTGGTTTCACATGATGAAATCTGTCTTAAAATTAAGTATAGCTAATTAAAAATATTTGTACCATAAAAATTCTTCTAGAAGGTTACCTATGTAGTAAATAGAATATTAATTATAAGACATCATTAAAAATCAGTGGCGTACCACCAACAAAGTAAAATTTTCCACAAAATTCCACAAAAATAATATTTTCCCTCCCCAATACTTAATCGAAAGTTCGCATGTGTCCAACAAAAAAATAATAACACCTCTAACGAAAAAGTGGGACCGTCACGCCCATGCTTTGACCTTATATCCGTTGACCAAAGCCGTCGGTTATTTTTAGCGGTGATGTCATTTGTTATTTAATAGGCGGTTGTTTATTATGGAATGCACATTTTTTCCGATGCGACTTATGGTTTAACAATTAGAATGACGAAATCAATTTGATTCGCATTTTTGTATCTTCGTGTAAAAAATTGATAATAATTTTTTGTCCATGGAATTCGAATTGCAAGTGTAAATATGTTTTTTAGGTTGGTTATTCAAATTTGTTTACAACCTTGAAATTGTATAATTAGTATCTAGTAGCTTTTAATTAATTTAAACAAAATATCTGCGGAAAAAATTTTTGTTTAAAATTTTTGTTGAATCAGAAGTCAAGAATGTACAAAATGAATAATACTTACTTTGAATACAAAATTTATTGTCTATTAATAACTGTTATAAATTATTTATTCATTATAATTATTCACTTTATTGCCTGTTTTCGAACACATTATATCAAAGTGATGAATTGTCTCGTAAAAGGTATAAATTTGAGATTTGGGTCGTGCATAGCGTGCCTTGGATCACCGAAACGTGATTGTTTCCAATAAGAATGTGTAATTCTCAACAAATTGTTTGCTTTTGCACCTTCATGACTATTTGGGCGAATAATAGAGAGAAGTTTAACTTTTCGTGCTCAAGTTGAGCAATAAAAGTTTTAAAAAATAATGCAATTTGTTGAAATGTTTTTATCAGCACAAATGTTGAAATATTGGTTGGCGACAAAAACAATTGATTGCTGTTTTATTAATAAATTTAATTAATAAATAAAGTTTACAAATATCATTTAGTCATCAAATGGCATCCTTAAATTTTTAAAGTATGATGAATTTACAACAATACAATAAAACACAATAGGTACAACTGTAAAACTTAAAAATAGTTATTGATTTAAAAAAAAATTATTTACTTTAAAATTTAAATGTAATGTGAGAATTTTTGTATTAAATCATCATTTTGTGTGTTTATTATTGTTACATTTTTTCATACAATTTCTATACAATTTATTAAAAAGTATTTATTATATTTCTTAAATAGGGACAAAAATATGGTATTTAATACAAATTAAAATGTTATCTATACATTCCTCTGTATAGTGTGGAATACATTTACATTTTCTTCTATGCATTGGATAATTGTCATTGTTCCAAAGCATCTAACGGAATCAAGTCGAAAAAAAAGTTTAGTTCAACGAACTGTTTCAACGTTTCACTATTTTCTATTCTATATCAAGATTTTTTAAATGTATTCAGTATCCAAGGGAGTTGCCAATAAAAATAGAACATTCAATTTAATAGTAGTAGCGTGAAAACAATTTGTTTTACCGAAATAATTTAAAATAAAGTCGGCTTCACACGCATTGTAAAACATGATGTTTGGTTTCAACGGAATTTTAATTTAATTTTCGTGTGTAAAACGACATTAAATGTCAAATGACAAATTTTGTTTATTAAAAAAAAAGATTGTTTTGTAAAAAAACAATTTTAGAAAAAATATATTTTTATATTAATTTAAAGTGTTTGCCAGTAAGCTTTAATAAATCTTTTATGTGATACGTTATAAATGTTGGTTTAAATTTAGAACCAATTTGTTTTAACTAAAATATAATTTAGAGCTAAAAAACAAACACTTTATATCATATTTATTTGTGCTAAGTAAAATATAAATGTTTTTCTGGCGATGATGCAACGCATTTTTTAAATCGATTCTAATTGCCCGGAGTTATATGGAGACAAAAATATTGTACATTTTCGTAAAAAATTTAACAATATCTAGTTGCTTTCGGAATAACCTGGAATTAATAAATTTAGAGGCGTATAAACGAGTAAACAAAAACTTTATCCATTACCTTTCATCGTAATTCATCCATAAAAAGCGTTCCAGACAATCTGGAGCCAGGTTGGACATAAAAATAATTATAGAAAAACGAAGGAGTAGTTAATTTTTATCGTCTCGTCAGAACATTTTAATGGATTTTCACGTAACTCGCTTCTCGAGGAAAAACACTGTGAAGAATTTCGTGGAAAAAAATAATCCACGGCACGCGAACATTAAAAATGATAACGTGCGTGGTAAAAAACGTTAAGGATGTTTATTTGCGTCGTGTTAAAACCAACTAAATTATGAGAAAAAATGGGAAATGTCAAGAAATAGTTTTTTATAAAATTTAAATAATTATTTGAATAATGATAATTTTCAACTTTGATTTAATTTAATACTGAAATTTATTTCTTCTTCCTTCTCCAGAACTCACCACCGAAGACAAACTAGAATACAACTTCTTCCCGAACCGTTCGGGATACTTCCAGTTCCGCGTCAAGGCCGCCAACGATGCCCACATCGCCTTGTCCACCGCCGCCGCCGAGGTCGACCCCATGTACGAGATCTTCATCGGCGGTTGGGGCAACTCCCGCTCCATCATCCGCAAGAACCGCACCAAACCCGACGTAGCCGAAGCCTCCACCCCCGGCATTCTCAACGACAACGAGTACAGAGGATTCTGGATCCGCTTCGGCAACGGCAGCGTTGCCGCTGGACGCGAAGGTGAAGGTCAACCTTTCGTCGAATGGAGGGACAGCGAAAATGTGATCGTCGAGTACGTGGGAGTTTGCACCGGATGGGGTAAGGAGTCGCCTCAAAAATATCTTAAATCTACCATGTTTATACTAAGTATAAGCTAAGATTCGCTGTACCGTGAACGGACACAGTTTAGAGAAACTAACAAACTAATTTATACAAACTGGAGTCGGGTACCGGTACGTTATCGCTATTTAAAGATTTATTTCTATTATTATAGATGTGTAAATTTTTATACCTATCTAGCAGACTTGGTTCCCTAACTTCCTTAATAAGTTTAAATCTAGCATGGGTCAAGTGCTCTTTGAACCTTAATTGGATGGATCGTTCAGTTTGTCATGTTTCTTAAAATATTTATTTGTTTATCTGATTTCTACACGCTGTTAAAAGGAACGCGTCAACTTAAAACTCACCCTGTATATAGAGTTATTTTCAAGTTGTATGTCAAGGGTGGATTACATAAAACCTTGTAGAAGCATAAACTCAAATTTATCGGTTTTTTAACATACAACCTTGTTATATTAATATTAGGGTGACGATATGAGCGCGGAAAGTAGTTACTTTCCACAGGCTATTTGTCTTTCTAAATTGGTCAATTTCGACATTTGTTAACGGTTTAACTTCTTGAATCGCAGGAGCGAGCGGCAACTGGATCATCGAGCAGGCCGGGTCCTCCCCCAGCGCGCCGCCCGCCATGGGCGGCAGAGGCGGTTTCTCCTCCGTGTGCTGGGTGCCGGCCAGCAACGGGCAGGTGCCCCCCAGCAGCTTCGCCGGCGGCGAGGACAACGGCGAGCAGGTCTACATCGTCAGATCGAACTTCGGCGGCGGCGTGATCCCCGGGAAGCTCGTGCCCAGCCACAACGTCGCCTACGTGCCGTGGGGCGGCACCGAGAACGCCGTTCCCGAGTACGAAGTTTTGTGCGACTTCAACGGGTCCTGGTTGGCCTGCAACGGCGCCAACATCCCGGCCAACGCTGTACCAGCCGGCCAATCGGAGGACGGAGAGCCTCTGTACGTCGGAAGAGTGGTCCATGACGGCAACTTGACCGTTGGAAAGGTACAACCCAGCCATGGGTGCGTGTACATCCCGTACGGCGGTCAGGAACTTGGGTTCCCGGACTACGAGATCTTGGTACAATAGACTGTCGAGTAAAGTATGTTTGCTTCACCTGCTGCCTATAGGATGTTCGTCCAGAATTTATGCAACTCGCATGCACTTGTATTTACTGACAGTAGAACGTTATTTTTATAAATATTTATCAAGATTATTTATTTACATTGTTTTTTATCTCTTAGAGCACACTGTTAGTTTTATAGACAAAAAATGAATCTCTTTTAATTTAGGTAAAACAACGTTATGTTTCTTTTTATTTTATGATAAACACTCTACACTGGTTTGTACGTGTTTTAGTTTAAAAATCATTTATAATAAATTATTTATCAAAAACACACCCTATCTTTTATTTATCCCTATCATAGTGAGCCTCACTAAGTGAGGTTTGATGTTTTGGCTCATCTAAAACAGATTAGCAAGGTTTACGGTTTTGTTTGTGAAAATAAAAAAAATATTCGGTACTTTAAGTACTTGTCACCGAGCAATTGAATTCCAATCATTTTACTGGACCGCTTCTTTACAAATTTTGTAAAGCAAAAAATTCGTTTTTGAACTAGCAAATATCATTCGAAAAATCGACTTTATCTAAAGTAAAGTAGTTGATAGTAGTGGATAGTTCGTTATTTCTGTGCTTTTTTCTTTCGATTCGATAAAAATAGTTTATTCTATTGCGGAGAGAGTGGAAATTATTGAATTGCGAATTCCGGCACACTGGTTCAGTGGCAAATAAAAAACGAGATATTAAAAGAAAAATGAGGCAGTAGAAGTGGCTGTTCTTGGTGAAAGGACTGCATAGAGTATAGACTTTGTTGTCCTATTTTGTTAACGTAAATTATCCGAAACAAACTCACAAATATTAAATTTTTGAAAATGTAAACAAAACATAGAAAAATAATTTAAAAAGTTAGGTTATGGTTATGCAGTAGTTCCACATTTAACTAAGTAGTAGTTTAATTGACTTTACCCCTTCGATCTTAGCGCCACCTAGCGGCTTGGCACGTTAAGGAAGCCACCTCGAAGCTTAAAGTTGCAAGACCTGTATATAAGACCGTGGCCAGAACATAATTTGACGTTTTATTTTGACAGACATTAATTAATTAATTTTGACATTTTTCTTAACGTCAATTGTACCCACCTAGAAACATAAATTAAACTACTTGTTTTTTTGGATTTATTCAATTTTATTGATAAATCATGTTCGAAATAGACAAAATAGTATGAAAACTCGTGTAACAATGACTTATTTGAATCTATTAGAATCATTCTAAGGAAAAATAACAGACAATGTTTTTCGGCAACTGTCATTTTGACAGCTGTAATTTGGACACCTGCCATTTTGACAGCCGCCATGTTGGCACCTGTGAGGTTGACTGCTGTCATTTAGGCACATGTTATTTTGACAGCTGTCATTTAGGCATCTATTATTTTAACATGTCATTTCGACAACTGTATAATGACAGTCGTCATTTTGGCAGGTGTCATTTTGGGACCTGTGATTTAGACAGCTGTCATTTTGACAGCAGTCTTTTTAGCACGTGTCATTTAGGCACCTGTCATTTAACGATCCACTTAATTGTAAAATGATTAAAAACGATTGCAATTTTGTATTGGTTTCTATCGGAGATTTAAAGCAGAGAATATTTCTGTACCTCAGAGCCCAACTAAGTTTATAATAATTATTCATAGAAATCCAGCTTTAAAGAACAAATCATAGAAAACATATAATGCAAAGATAAAAATGCCGCGTTTCAAATCTCTCCTTCAAAAATCGATTTTGATCAGGTTTATGGACTACTTTGGCTCTGGTGTACAGATTTGTATTTCTTATAACGAGCTCTTTTGTTTGATACATCATTGATCACGATGTGATGATTTGAGTTTATATGTTATAAGATTTCTTGATGGTATCGGCCAATTTTTCTGCAGCAGCCATGATAATAACAACAGGATTGTGGCTTTGCGTGAAAGGGAAAATACTAGCATCACAAACTCTAAGATTATTTAAATGGTGCACCTTCATGTCTTTATCGGTCACGGAATTTTTGGGATCAGTGCCCATAGAACAAGTACCAATGGGGTGGTATGTAGGAAAAGCGAAATGTTTAAAAACACAGTACCAATACTTCCTAGACTTTTCACTAAATTTATTGCACTTGGGAATGCTGAGTTTAGTCATTCGTGCTGCAACTGCCTGCATTGCGGGCGTATGGAAATGTTCCCGAACACCCAAGTAAATTTGATACAAGTGTTCCAGATCGTCCCGGTCCCCGAATATGTTTGGATCTATCAAGGGATAATCGTAGGGGCTGCTACTTTGTAGCGTCACACTACCAACCGATTTGGTCTTTAAGTTAATGAACACTCCCAACATAAATGGAGATCCCAATTCAATTCCAGCAACCTGCGCAATGATGCTCGAAAAAGAAAAACGAAAGTTGTTGTTAATCATGGTGGTTGTCGAGAAAAAAGGCATCATCATAAACTCTGTATCAGGTCGAGTTTTATCTTCTTGAATCTTGGTGGGAAACCAAAGTACAGAGGCTATTCCCTGATCAGCCGTCAATCTACCATGACCGTTGATGTAATCCTCAATATCTTCTATATCAGACTTAAAATTGTCATCTGTTTGATTGTGTTGTGCCACGAAAAACATACTATGGTGATCCCTCAAATTTTTACCCACTGGTAAGTCAAAAAGGGTTTTAATTCCCAAACTCTCTAAATGCTCCTCAGCTCCAACACCAGACAGCATCAGAAGTTGTGGAGATTGAAAAGCACCCGCCGATAAAATCACTTCCTTACGTACCCCGGCATAGTAAAGCATGTTGCTATGGGAGAAATAAACACCTTCCGCATTTTTTTTGCTAGGATCAATTTTTATTTTGATCGCCAAACTTTTGGTCATTAGTTTAAAGTTGGGTTTATCCAGAATAGGCAAGACGAAGGCAGTTCCAGCATCCACTCTTCTTCCTGTAAACATTTCAATATTACCGGGCCTTTCTATCTTAACTTAACCAGGCAAATGGTTGTTTTTTATTTAAAGAATTTTTTTTACAGTTTCTCTACAGAAATCTTTATATATATGAAGGTAACCCCAATTTCATGACCCTGGATAAAATACTAAATTTTTGCGATGAACCACAAATTTACTGGAAAATGGCATTTTCATTAAAAAAAATAGTAATTCCGAAACGACGAATTTAGCCAACTTTTGGTGAAAGTTGTTTAAATTATCAACTTCAAACGAAAATAATTTGAAGTAAAAAAAATGTGGCAATGTCAAAATTTTGACCTCAATTTTGTTTTGCCTTTTTTTAGAAAAAAACAATTTAAAAAATTTTTGAGTGAATTTACTCAATTTTTTAAATATTTTTATATGTGAGTGAATATATTGAGATGTCCCCCAAGTGAAAATGATTATTTTTTATTTTTGGTTTTTTCACTGTTAGTCTTGAATGGGGTTTTTGGGAAGCCACCAGGTCTACTAATAACATAATATAAGTGGTTCTGCACTAATCCAAGAATTTTAAGAAATCATACATTTTGAATATTGGAGATTCACGGAGGTTAGGATTTCCTATGTTTTTTTTAAACACCCCTTTGCATATTTGAAATAAGTTATCTTTTGACACCTTAATATTTTTAAAAAATACAATTGTACAGGGTGATCCCCTATAATGTCGCCCCCTTTAACTTTTTTATTTTAAGTGTCCCAAAAAAATTAAAAGTGTGGTTATGTAGGTACTAAAAATACTTTTTTTCTACGTGTTAAAAAAAATGAAAAATTGATCAATATACAGGGAAAAACAAAAAGTTTATTTTTTTTTCAATGGATCACCCTATATATGAATTTATTTTTCGATTCCTTGTAAAATTCTGAGCATAATTCATATAACAAACCATATCCTAAATTCAACAGTTTCTGAAATATTCGCATTCGAAATGCTATCATTAAATGTTTTTTTTAACTGTTAGAAATCAAGAAGCCTCAGTATACCAAAATTTTTATTGAAAATAAATTATTATAGTGACATTTTGTCAATATCTCATGTTAAATAAGTAAAAATGGCCTACTCAGAAAGAGAAAGACAAACTATTTCAACTTATTATCTTAAAAATAATTTAAATATTTCAGAAACGGTTGAATTTAGGTATATACAAAAGTGCTCTTTTAGTTCCACCCTTACTTCTTAAGAAGTCCCATAAGCCAACTGAATGGCTTGTGCGGGTTAGGGGTAGGAACGGACCGCGGGCTTAAAGTCCCCTCCGAAGGACTATTACACAATAGGACAAACACAAATAAACAGCCATACCTCTGGTGGGATTCGAACCCACGACCTCCGGCTTGTAGTCAGCAGCACTAACCACTCGACCACCGTCGGCGATAAAATATGGTATGTTAAATGAAATATGCTTGTTTAATTTACTTAGCGAACTGATATTTTTAGTATGCAAAAAGAAAAAGTATGGGTCTCATCGATTTCGGTAAAGAAACAGTAAAAAAAATTCGTTGAAAAATAACGACCTAAGGGGTAGGTGCCTGGTGGATTTTAGATGGAAACAATGTTAATTAAACATGTAAATTATTACCATTATCAATAAAGAACTGTAAGGGAGAACACCCCACTTGTTCGCCACTGTTATAATCAGTGTACTTGTACCCCAACTGCTGACATCCTTTATAGAAAGCATCAGTTCTACTATTATTGATCGAGTTAAATTGTGACGGAAATTCTCCTTTGGTACTGTGATACTCAGGATTTGACGGGGCATCATCTCTGTTTTTATTATGTTTCTCGAATTTCATCATGTAAGGCAGCATATCCTTGTAAGACCAGCCTTCGACAATTTCGTTCAGCTGGTCCAGATCTTTGGGGTTAGATCTGGCCAATATGGCACCGTTTATCAAGGTGCTACCTCCCACACCTCTGCCTCTCGCCATTTGGCATCTCTTTTCTTCAAAACCTAGGAACAATATTAATAACATGTTAATTCTCTTAACCGTAATTATTCTCACCTTGACAACCCTCTTTTTGCGGGACACTGTAGAACCCCCAGTTATAATCGGAAGCCATATTTGCTAAGGCGAAGGCTGGCATACGGGTAGTTTCGTCCGGTAAATCTCCGGCTTCAATGAGTAAAACCTTCCATTCCTCAATTTCACTTAGTCTTTTAGCCAGAACTGAGCCCGCTGCTCCGGATCCAACAATTATGAAGTCAAAATCTCCAAATGCTAAAAAAGTTAACTTTTTTGAACTCTGTTTCGTGTTCGTTGGGCCACCCTGTATAATATACATACATGTTATGTATGCCACTGGAAAAATATGTCTTACCTTCAACATGTGATGCGTCTGCTTTGTATCTCGCAGCATTATCATCCACTTGATACCAAAAACTTTTTCCATTTTTCTTGTTAATTAAATTTTCATAATATTTAATTTGTTCTTCAATTGATAAAGATTCTATTTTATTATTGTTAATATACGCGTTCACATTGATATTTATTATGAATAACATATAAATAACTGCTTTGAGCAACATTTTGGGCTTAAGCACATTTGAGTGGATTATTAAAAATCAAATGATAATATGTGCAGTCGCGATTTATATTATTAGTGTAGGTACCATTTTTTATTTTTAATTATAACGTTTAAACCTTAAACTTTGGCATGCACTTCAAATTATTTTTATTTAATTTATTTTTGCTACTTGCGTTTATATTTTTTGTCAAGTTTTTTTCAAAAAATTATAACTTTTTGTTAGGTATATACTTTTTTAAATTTATTTTTACTACGTATAACGTATAAAAAAATACCTATTCTAAATCTAAATTTTTATTAATATAAAATATTTTTTTCTTTATACAGTAGGTATGTCCACGGATACAGGCCCAAGAGGACAAATTGACTAAAATTTTCATGTTTCCACCAAAAGTCATTCCTCAAAAAGTTCTGCTTCCCAGATAACCAGCGTCCTTCCGTTTGCCGGTCAGTTGCCTACTATTCGTTCTCTTGATATGGTAGCCGTTTGCTGTCAAGTGGGTGCCACCATTTGACTGTCTGTAGACAAAAATCTTTTCTAACAATATATTGTGTGCAATCCACCGGCAACCGACGGGAAACCTTTTGCTTATAATTATTGTGGACAACATAAGAGTTTATAGGCGGAAATGTTTCCTGACAACTTATAGTGTGCAACCCACCGGCAACACACGGGAAACCTTTTGCGTATACTGATTGTGGGCAACGGATAGGAAATGATTTACCTATTCAAATTCACTGAATTTGGTGGCAATTTGCCGATAACGAATTAGAAATTAAAATAAATTAATAAATGAAGCGTTGAGAACCAGAGTGGCCTTACCCACAAACATTTATTCTAAAATGGGGTTATAATTTTAGGACAATATATATATATATATTTGGGTGCTTTTTTTAACAAAGTTTTTCATTTCCGAAAAATATATTGTCCTAAAATGATTGTAACATCATTTAAGAGTTAGGCCACTCTAGTTCCAAACGCTTCATTTACCTATTCATTTTAATTTCCGATACGTTATCGGCAAATTGCCACCAAATTCAGTAATGCCTCATTTATTGGTATTGTTATTTTAACAAGAGGGTTAGGCGTAAATTTTCATACTCGAATTTTTTCAAACGTCGTTTTATTACAAAAATACCTATATTCACAAAGAAATAAAATATTATAAATATTTATATACACAACAGAATAACCTTATAAGCCGATAATTTATATAATAATAAATAATAATAATAAATGTTCTTTATTGAAAAAAATACATTTTTCAAAAGGCCATTGACTTTCGTCCTTCAGCCGGGAATAATAAATATATTTATTATTATATAAATTATCGGCTTCAAACAGGCGCAGCCTTATGGAATCTTCATTGTTTACGTTTGGATCTCGACGCTTAAGCCTGATTTATAGATTGCCTTTCTTCCTTCCTTCCTTCCGTAGAATATGAACAATACAAAAACCGTTGTGCTTTTTAAAGATTCCCATACGGGAATCTATAAATGGCACTACGTTTTTTGGTATTGTTCATCTTTTATGAGAGGAAGGAAGGAAGAAAGGAAGGAAGGAAGGAAATCTATAAATCAGGCTTTAGCGGTAATACGTTGACGCTGTTTTGCGGCAAAACTTTTGCCCCTCGCCGTTACCTCTCTTTGAAGTTCAACACGCGTTGGTGGATCAAAGTTTTTTTGGTACCCACAGCTCCTGCAATAAATATATGTTTAGCAATAAACATATGTTTAGTTTGTATAAAACATTATTTAACATACCAAAAATAGCCCTAACAAGACCAGGGTTGTAAAGGGGATGATTGCCTTGCTCATCCCCCCCATGTATATTGCATATCTCGTCGGAGATAAACTTCCTGAACAGTTTATGAATGTGTAAAGGCCCCATAATCAATCTGAAAAATAAAAATAATTTATTAACGCTTGGCTTGACAATTTTTTCAGTCAGATTTTAATTAATAATTTGATAATTTTTTACACTATGGTAAATTTTGTCGTTTCTTGGGAAGCATTTGGTTCTATTAAAATATCCACTAAATGTGTTTATTCACGGCACTTTTTTGATTATCAAAAAATTAAAAAATGCCTAGCTGGTATTGTATACAAATATATTTAAGAGCGATAAAAATTGGTTCAAAAATGCAAATTTTACAAGGGCGGTAAGGTATGCTTTATAAAAATTTGTTGTAGTATACTACAACAAATTTTTGTATACAAAAAAGATATTACATTAATTAATTAATTTAAAATTACCGCTATTATAATAGCTTCTGAAATTTTAAATAAATTAATGTTATTTGAATAAAAACCCTTATAAAATTATAATACTTCAAAGAAAAAACTACATCTTCAAAAAATCCTACATTTTTATAGCCTCTATTTAGGTACATGCCGAAAGAAGTTTCACTTCAATATAACAAATTATTTAAAAATTTACTTACGTCTTGGTTTCTTTTTTGTATTTTTTTTATTTTCAAAGGATTTTTAGATTTTTCCATATGGATATAGGTACAGCTAAAGCTAATAGATAACTATTGCGTGCATAAAACATACCTGACAGATTTCTTGTTTATATTAATCAACACGTCGTACACACACTCGCAGAACAAACCATAAATTATAAAGAACAAATGGTGAGCAACGGTAGCGGGGACTCTCGCGCAAGCGCGGTTCTTTATTGTGGGAAATATGTTGGCCGTCCGTTGCACCTCTGTTGCATACAATTGTTGACTGGAATCTATTGAAAATAAGCGGAAACAAATTTCTTGCAGTTTTCATGCAACTGACCAACAAGGTATTTTAGGAAATGTGTTGCCCGTCGGTTACACCTCTGTTGAATACAACTCTTAATCAGAAATTATTGGAAATACGTGTCAAACTTGGGCCTAAACATTTTTCTTGCAGTTTGCATGCAACTGACGGGAAATGTTTTGGACTTCCAACTTATTGGCTTACTGTTGCATGAAATATGCCAGCTTGTTATTGCCGACAACGCGTTTCTTTAGGTTTACTAAGAAACTTTGGTTATCTGGGTTGTTTTGAAAAGTTCATTGCCATTCTTTAAATTTGAAAATATTATACAGGGGAATCGAAAAACAAAAAAATATGAGTTACTATCAAGAGTAAACTACCTTTATTTTTCTTTTTGGAGCAAAATGACAAATCTATCTATTCTGAACATTTTGTTATTATCTTTGTTATTGACAAAGATACACTATGTTAAAGCAAACGCAACAGATAAAGTCTTATGTAAAAATAAGTCAGTTATTTTAAATAAGTGTATCTATGTTAATAATCGAGATAATAAAGTGAATAAAAAAACAAAATGTTAAAAAAAGATAGTATGACTTTAATTGATATCCGCTGTTATTGCTGATGCACCCCACAGGGTGTCACAAATTTCGGAGAAAAAACTTCTTACTTCTAAACCTTGTATAAGCACAAATTAAAATCAGAATTAAATAATCTTCAAAATCAGATGAGCGGTTCGCGAGGAAATCAACATTAGAGACAAAAATAAATCTTTGGTTATTTATGTAAAAACAACTTTATGTTTCTTCCCATTACATGAGGTGTCACTGATAAGTAAATAAAACAATTTTTGTAAAAAACAATATATTTAGAAAAACATTTACACTTTGCCAGTAAACCTATAGTATTTCTTGTAGTTATCATACAAAATCTTAAACATCTCAGTAGAAGCACTAGATAAAACTCTCATCAGAAAAGAAACAGCATGTTGATCACACAGCGAAATCAAACTGTACACACAGTTATTCAAGTGCAACTAAAAAAACAAAAAAATTACCCCCCAAAACAAAACAAAAATTAATTTTACACAACTCACCTTAACATTAACATGTAACGTAACCTTCTCGTATTTCCCCAAAATATCCGCCACCAAATACATCGCCATCCGCCCCATGTCTTTCTTGCACTCCACGAGCTGCCTGGTCAGCTTCTCGAAGCTGTGCGCGCAGTCAGACAACAGCTGCGCATCGCCGTTCTTGTCTGCGTCGCTTACTGCGCACAACCCGTCCAATAGCAGGCCGTATTGCTGCAAATAAACGGGGAGGCGGTCCACCACAAGCGGTTTTCTGCACTTCAGCAGCGATTCCAGGATGGATATCGATTGGGTGTAAGTCCGGACGAATTGGGGGGCGTTTTGGCGCAGTATTAGGGAGGGAGTGAGGAGGAAGATATCGATCATGGGGGGAGTCAAATGGAGCTAAAAATGGGTGATAATAAGTTTTAAGGAGTTTCCATTTTGAAAGTTTTCTGGAAACTGATCCTGTTTTTCATGTAAATTGATTAACAGCTGATTAACGAAGATAAGGTCAAGAAACTGAATAAAAAGAAGTTAATTTGTTTTAATTTAAATTATACAAGTAGTAGTATTAGTTATATTCTATAATGGGGTAGTTAAATTTTTTCTGACCTATACTTTTTATGGGTTTATTCAAGGCGTTTTGTAATTTTTAACATTTCTGTGATATCGGAATTTCAATTGAGTTTACCGTTTTCAAGATATTTACAAAAAAATCTCCTAATTACGTCACTAGGCTATTGACAACGTTGCCAGCTTTTTCTATGATTGCCAGTGTGTTTAGTTTAAGATTCTTACGATAGATGGCGCCACGTTATAATATTTTAGTTTTAAAACCACTTGATCTATAATTTTAGTTGAGAAGAAGAAGAATTGATTTTTTGACGTTTCTTTTTTTCGGGTTATGTTTTTTTGTGTAATATCTCAGTAAGTAGTTTTTTTTTATAAATATTTTATGTATGTACAATTGAATTTTTTAAAAATATTAAGGTGTCAAAAGATACAATATCTTATTTCAAATATACAAAGGGATGTTTAAAAAAACATACGAAATCCTAACCTCCGTGAAGCTATCTTCCGTGAAGCTTTAATATTCAAAATGTATAAAATTGCACATCTCAATATATTCACCAATTTCTGATGGTTAACAGTTTATTTTTTAAGTTTCAGCATCCAACGCATTATGTATACATTCATATAAACAATTTTTATTTTTTTTGTTAATTTTGGTAAAAAATATAATAAAATTTGGTAAAAAGGTGTGTTATATATTTTTGCAATCCTCCTGGCACAAAAAAACTCATTTCCGCAATAACAAATTTTGTTGAAACTCTCGGGAATTTTCGATGGAAAGTTTCCGGGAATTTTCGTAAAATGGGAGTTTTCCTCTAATAATAAGTTTTTGATATATTGGGGGAAATACTAATATGAAATATACCTGATTTGTGTGTATCACGGTTTCAAAGAATTTAAGAATGCAAGTGTTGGATGATTCATCGTTATTTTGGAATATTTTTGTTAAATCCTGTAGTAATACTTCCAATGTTTCCTGCCATAATTTAACTTTTACAGGGTTAAAGCTGCAACTCACTATGCTTTCCCAGATTTTAACTTGTCTAATTAGCTTTTCATCATTTGTTTTTACATTAATTAACTAAAAATGTAAAATAAGTACAACAAACTTAACTGTCAAAAAAATAACTCACTGTTATTTCTAGTAAATCTTTGGTAACTTGACTAAATTTCTCGTTAGAAATTAAACTGAAAATCAAGACAATCAATTGTGAATATTGTTCATGGTATTCCGCGGAAACATTTAACTGTTTAGACCAATTCCAAACCTAAAAAATATTATTTTAAAAATAAAAAACCCACTCAACTCACTTACCTTCAAAAGAAACTCATCGTCAACATATTTCGCTCTACTCTTGTTATTTAAAATTGTGGAAAACAACAGCAGCGCCCCCTGTACAGCGTCTGCGGAATAATCTTGCAGGGCAAAGTTGGCGAACTCTCGATCTTTTTCCTCGCTGGTTGTCGGGGAATTTTTGAAGACATGCGCATACGCCCCTATTAGGTGAGACTTAAGGGGCCCCTTTTTTAAAACCACTTTTTCCATTTTGTCGCATATTTGGGTTTTTTGTTCGTTTACGAGGGCTTTTACTTCGGGTGTTTGCTTCAGCTTTTTCATCTGTAATATGCAATACGTTTTAATAAAAAGAATCACACAAACTATTGCATTTTTACCTTGTAATAACAGTTCAGGTAAATAGTGGCGCACTTTAAATATTCCGGGGTGTTCATATTTTTTACCAAACAAGTTATGCAACCTTCATACAGCGCCATATTTCTTATTGAACCATCGGTAATTTGTTGAAAAGTTGACTCATATCTATCAAAACTGCTTATGATTTGGAAACACAATTTTTCAGCGTCGAAAATAGTTAACAAGCTGAATTTTACATGTTGTAACAAGCCTAGATAACGCATTTTAAATTAAAGTATATTATTTGTTTATATTTACTCACCAATGATTATTGACTCAATAGAAGTTTTAAGATTGTTTGAAGAACTACCTATATCTTTATGCAAGGCAAAGAAGTATAATAAATAAAATTTCTGCATATTTTCGGAACTATAAATTATGGGAAACATTTTTAAGTAGTCGATATTTTGTGTGAGCTTAGTTTCATTTATTTTAATATCAGATACGCTAGAACTATTGTATGCATTTTCAGCAGATTTTAGTAAAGCATCATCATCATTTAGTATGAAGAAATCTGAGGTAATTACTGAAAATACCTGAAGAAAAATTAGTCAGTTTTTGTTTTGAATTTGAATAAATTTTACCTTGTTACTCAAAGACTGAGCATTTTTCTTCTTGATTATTTTGTTTATTCTTGTTAAAACCACATAATTTAAGGCATTCAACAAAAGCTGGCTTTCCATAATGTTCTGCCTTTGCTGTTTATCCAAGTCGTCAAAATTGTTTAAAACGTTTTCCGCAATAAAAACGATGAACTGCGGTTCAATGTGGCCCAATAAATTTTTGATGGCAAATTTATCCAGCATGATGTTTTTCCAGCTTTCCTCCACGGTATTGGAAAAATTCTGCGCCACATCCAAAGAAAGATCCTCAATATCTTTTTCGAAAATCGTTTTGGCTCTCAGTTTTTGGATGAATATTTTTTGCATTAATTCCTTGCAAGGTTTTTCCCCGAAATTCGTGATTCTTTCATATATCAAGGACCACTGCTTAACACTTAAATATGAGTGTATGTTGTAAGTTACATTTTCTGCATCTTTGGATTCTTCCATGGGTGAGTAATAATTTAAGACCATGTGCATTTCGGACCAATTATAGGAGATGTTGAGAAAAGCTCTGACAAGAATTTGATTCTGAAAGAAACAATGTGTTTACAATTTTAAGATAATTGGACACCCCACTAAAATCTTCATTTGAAGAAATGTTATAAAATTGTATAGTTTTGTTGAATTTTTACCCAAGCAATAAATTTATAATTTTATTTTTTTAATGAAAATGTCATTGTAGTAAATTCGTGGTTCCGTATCTACTCAAACAAGTTGATAATTAAATGATTTTCAAAAATAAATAAATAAAATTTGACATCTGTCAAATGGTTAACCTCACTTTTTACCAACTTTATTTAAATCTTATTAGTCGCCTTCTCCCAATTTAAAACCCGATTGGTTTAAATTACAGCGAACATTGAAATCGGCCAATCACTGATGCCTAACAACGTGAATAATGAGTTCATTAATCCCGCTGCTAGGCATTTATTTAATGTAGGATAAAATTAGGTTGATAAAAATAAAATAAAGATAAAATATTTAACAAGGTGTAACTTACATGTTCTCTGCTTAATAAAGCCTTTCCAAAATGCTTCAAAACCGTCTTCATTTCTTCCATACTTTTAACAAATTTTTCCACGACGGTTTGTGTTATTGTATGTTCCGCCATTCTGACGCTAGACAAAACTGAGCATGTCAAAGAGCTTAAAATTTCCATGTAGGTTACATAACTTTGCTCTAAAACAAACAAAAAATATATAAAATTGGTCCAGTCTTAATGCTCAAACTTTGGGGATATTGTTTGGACTTGTTAGGAGGTTAACATACTAGAAAGTAAGCAAGGGGTAGGGGGCAAGCTCATAACTCTGAAAATATGGGTCCTTCCAAAAAACTATTTTATACAAAATTAAATCTAACAAAATTTACTACAATATTAATTAAATAAATTTTTTTGCTATCTCGCATAGCTCGCATATATAGCCTTTTGTTTTACGAAAAAGTAAAAAAAAGAGATTGTAGAACAATACATTTTCTTCAAGAATATATGGATCATTCCAGTAAATAATTTTTTTTTTGAGTGTTTTTTTTTTTAATTTTGTGTTAATATTAAGAACTTTCATTGTAATGATAATTGATGATTTATTTTTTTTTCTAAAAAATTTATAGATTTTCAATGAAAATATTCATTCTTCATTAAAAGTAACAAAGACCATAAAAAATTCAATTAAAGTAAAAAATTCGATTTTTCTAGCCTGGCGGCAATTTTTATTTCAAGTTTGATATTTTTTCTGAAAACTGAGAATTTTTTACACAAAATTATTAATTTTTATGGGGTTATTTTTTGTTTAAATATAATATATTTAAATATAATATAATGAAATTATTATTATTACAGTACTTGTAAGCCATTTTTTAAAAATATTTGAGGTTATGTATCTGTCAGTTTAACACCAATTTTCTGCAAATAATAGGTATACCTTATATGTATGTTACTTAAAAATAAATTAACATTACCTTGTGTATTATTATTTTGCAGTTCCTCCACAGCAGCATTCAAATGAAACAATAAAGTTTTAAACAAGTTCATGACTTGCCAGCTGGCTAAATTCGCGACGCACTGTTTAAAATATTCCAAAACTTCTTGAGGCAAAATATTTTCTATTTTAAAGTCAACATCCTGGTTCTTGCTTACATCCAATGTTCCAGCAAAATTTATTTCACTTTTTACAAACTGCTCTCCTTCTAAAGCCGCCTTAATTGTTGGAACCAATTTGGCAATAAAATTTTGAGTTCTGTGTAATTTTGAGAACACCTCAAAAACAGCAGTTAAAAATTGTATGTAGTCATTTTTGTGGTTCGAATTTTCAGCCAGCATAGAGAACACAATAATTGGTTTTATAATGCTTTCAATAATCAAAGGGTTAAAAGTTATCACCCTTAAGAATATCTGGTATATATTACTGTTAGCATTAGTTAAACCCATAAAAGTGACCAACATTTTTTGTAGCAAATCAGTTATTGTCACTTCATTTACTTTAAAATCATTTGAGTCGCTGTGTTTGCATAGAACACTCAACAACTCCAAAAATATTTCATTTGATTTAGTTATTGTAGTACTAGGCAAACTCAACTTCGATACTTTTTTTAACCCATATAATTCTTTCACATCATACCCTATAATCACGTTTAGCAATATAAAACACTTATAGACAACATCAAATTTATCATAAGCCGCACAAAAAGCATCAAATAAAAGTCTGTATAGTGCTTTAGATTCAATTAAATTGTTTTCATATGCGTTGGAAATATATTTAAAAACAGCTTTTGGAACCGGATATTTTTCTGTTGTTGCTTCTTGATCAAAAAATTTATTGATGAAGCCTTCAAAGTTTTTAAAATTTCTGTAGAAAATGCACTAAAATTTTGTGTAAATATATTGCTTCATATATTAATTTTGCACTTACCCTTTGTACTACTTTTGATATTTCTGTGAACAATTTGTCATCACTAGCAAACTGTATGGTTGCTTCTGTTAAAACTGGCAGACAAATATTTAAAAAGTGCACGTAAAATTCTTCTTCAGCAATAATACCTTTGGAAAATGCATATTCCTTCTTCAAGAATTTCAAAAACTGTTCTGTGTCGCTGATATTCTTAATAATTGTAGCTAAAAAACTGCAGTATTCCTCCAAACTTTGCTTAAAATACTGTTGAAATATTCTTATTTCCAACAAGCTAATAGCCGAATCTAAACATTTGTTTCTAATAATGTTATCTTCATTCTTATTTTTACCCAGATTGTCCAAAACCAACTAAAACAAATCCAGTTAAAAATGCATGGTATATTATTTATTTTAGATTACTTACCTGCATAATGGCTTGGACATCTTCGTTACTTATATCATTTCTGTTGAATTCTTTGAAATGGCTTGATTGTAACCAACTATTGACAAGCTCCACTCCATCTACATTATTGTGTTTCAAAGACCATTTTAAAAGTATAGCTTCTTTATGTTGCAAAGGTAAATCGGGAGAATTGAACGCGTTTTCCGCAATTTTTATTCTTTTTGCCAAAGGCTCATCTGAATCGTCCAAAACGTGAAGTAGTTCTGTAAAAAGGAATTATATTTATCAAATATCCATAGGTGTTAAGTTAATTATTACGAAGATACTTACTTTTTGCTAATGCCATATTTCTTTATTATTTTAAAATTCAGAAAAACACGTGTTTACAAATCATTTTCAAAACAACTGTCATTTGTCAAAAATTACAGGGGTCTGTAAATGATTTTTTATTAATTTGACTAAAATCGGAAATACTTGTGTTAGCGTTATTTAAAAATCGTTTTTATTTGGTTTAAGGCAATTAAAGTTAATGCGAATTGTTTAATTATTGTGGATTATCGTTTTAAATGCTCGCTTTTGAGGTAAGTTGGTACGACTGTTTTATGACACTAGTCACATGACCAAAATTTGTGTCTTTTCGGTTGGTAGTTTGTATTTCCTTCTTTCTAAAATCGACAATGGCGCCGACGTAAGTTTCCGAATTTTTAAGAGAAATCCTAAAACATCGGCAAAATTATCCATATATCAAACATAATTTCTATTAATTCGTGTTTCGCGATGCTTTATTTATTCGATGAAATTCATATTTTGCCTAATTTATGGCTAAATAGTTAAGTTCGAAACGTGTTTATGTTTGACATAGTGCGGCTGATCATTGAAAGGTTATAATGAGGGAATTTCTTATTTTAGTGTCCAAAAAAAGGAGAAAACAGTCAAGGGACTGCCAGCAGTGCCCGAATCCGTGTTGAAGCACCGTAAAAGGCGCGAACAGTCCCGCACCAAAAGGTTACAGTCCGACATCAAAAAGAAGGGTGAAGGAATAAAAAAACGCAAGGAAATCTTCAAAAGGGCCGAACAGTATGTCAAGGAATACCGACTGGTGGAACGCGAAGAAATCCGTAACAAACGTCAAGCTAAAAACCTTAACAACTTCTACGTACCACCAGAAGCTAAATTGGCTTTCGTTATCCGTATCAAGGGGTGAGTTTGTGTGTTTTGTTCCCTTTTCACTCGGGACAGATTCATTGTAGTTTGTGTTTGTTTATCAAACTACTTTCCATGCTGTCCAAGATAAACACTGCCCTTTGTTCATGTTTATATGCTTTACAACTAATATATTCATTGTAAAGGGGGCAAACATGTTTTTAACTTTGATTAAACAATATTAATTTTATTAACTTGTGTTTTTTAAATTTTAGTATCAACAAAGTAGCCCCCAAGGTCCGTAAGGTCCTCCAATTGTTCAGACTGTTGCAAATCAACAATGCCGTCTTTGTGAAGCTGAACAAGGCCACCATTAACATGTTGAGGATCTGCGAGCCATACATTACGTGGGGCTACCCTAACCTAAAATCTGTCAGAGAGCTCGTCTACAAGAGAGGTTTTGCCAAGGTTAACGGACAACGTGTACCAATCACCAGCAACGAAATCATTGAAAACAGATTGGGCAAATCTGGTGTTATCTGCGTTGAGGATTTGATCCATGAAATTTTCACAGTAGGCGGTAGCTTCAAACAAGCTTCCAACTTCTTGTGGCCCTTCAAGGTAGGCGTTTTTTTTTTTGTTTATTTATTAAGTTTTCAACAAGATCTTCAAAACTGTTTTGATTATGGAAGTTTTGTTAAAAGTTGTTGATAGATAAGTTCTTGTATATCCTTCCTATTCACAGTTCAGTTGTTTTTGGGAGTTGGAAACACATGATACATTTTTTAAATTAGAAAAAAAGGAATTAAGTCTATTTAATTCAGTTTGCTTTTATTTCTATAATTGGGTTAGATTAAAAAATAACATGATGTGTTCTGTCAAAAATTATAGGTAACAGATGTCAAATATGACAGAAAACAAATGTCAATAATGACAGATGGCAGGTGTTAAAAATGACAAATTTCAGTTGATAGTTGACAGATTTCAGTCATAAAAAAGTGTCAGATTGAAGTTGAAAAAAAAATACAAAAATTACAGATGTCAAAAATGACGGAAAACTGTTTTTAAAATATTACAAATTTCAGTTGTAAAAAAATAATGAATGACAGTTGTAAAAATAAATAAAAAATGACAGATATCCAAAATGACAAAACAAATGTCAAAAATTCAAGATTTGTCATAAAAGTGACAGATGACAGACATCTGTGTAGGTGTAAAATAATGACAAAATGACTGTCAAATATGACAGAAAATATTACAAATGGCAGTTGTACAAAATGAAAGATGACAGTTGTAAAAGTCAGTGAAGAATGACAGATGCAAAATGTCAAATATGACAGATAAAAATGAAACTCTTAAAAAGTGACAGATAATAGACGTCTAATATGACAAGTGTTAAAAATGATAAAAAACAACTGTTCAAAATAACAGATTACAGTTGTAAAAACATGACAGATAACAAAATTAAGAATAACAAATGTATTAAATGATAAATGACAGGTTTCAAAAATTATATTTTAAAAATGATAAAAAAAAATATGACATGTTTAAAATGACAGTAAACAAATGTAAAAAATTAAAGAAATAATTGTAAAAAAGTTTAAAATGAGAAATATTAAAAATGACAAAATAACAGATTAGTTTTTTTTTAAATGACAGCAGACACATGACAAAAAAATTAAGAATACATGTAAAAAATTATAGATGACAGACTTTAAACATGAAATTTCTAAAACAAATTTCAAAAATATGACATAACAGATCTAAGAAATGACAGATGACAGAGTCTAAAATTACAATAAATATGATATTAAAAATATGACATAATATATTTTTATCCTTTTTCTTGCCCTGACAATGAAAGAAATCTAAAAAAAATGTAAGAAAATTACATATTCAACTAAAATATTGTACAGTTTTATAACAATCTACAACAAAGGCAAAGCAGTGTTTTTTAGGAATTTGAAGAAAAAAATGTTATATTTAATTTTTTTAATGTTAATATGTCACATTGTCACACAAATGTGATGTTTGATATTTTTAATCTTTTTTGTAGCTAAACACCCCCACTGGTGGATGGAGGAAGAAGACCAACCACTACGTTGAAGGTGGTGACTTTGGAAACAGGGAAGACAAAATCAATGAACTTCTCAGAAGGATGGTTTAATGCAGTAGATCCTGTGTTTATAAAAAAATATATAAAATAAGTTCATTTTTTTTAGTTTTTATGCCACTTTTATTTTAACAAACCCCCCACATGAGACAAGAAAGGTAAGTAAAAAAACATTATTCTTTTAATATTTTATTAGAAAGAAAAGTCATTTCGGCAGTATACATATTTATAAATGCATACATACATAAGTTTATTTTTATTATTATTAAAAATATTTACAAATTACATCTGCAATCTCAGGTCTTAATTTAAGAGCCCGGACGTTAGATTTTTTCAGTACAGTAAATTTATTCGTTTATTTTATTATAAAACACTCAGTATAACAAGCAGCAATAACAATAGTCTCAAGTAATATTTACAAATAAAAACATAATATTGAGCGACAACACAACACAGATTTTTTAATTTTACAGTGTTTTTAAATTCCTTTTATTTTATTGGGAAATAAATAACAATACAATATATTGGAATGTTGGCATATCACCTTAAAAGTACAATAATCAACAATATACGGGGTACCTTTTACATATCAGTTTAGTTTGAGTTTTACTCCATTAAATTACAAACAATATAACAATAAAAAGCTACCCTTATCACCTTTTTGAAATATGTAATACATTAGTTCAATATTGTACTTAATAATAAAAATTTAAAGCCAGTTGTGTTTAAATATATACCACCCTGTATGTTAGTGTATATAAATTTAATAATTTGCATATTAGACCAGATTTAATTTTTAAAAACAATAACGTTAAAAGATTTATTAATAAATGTACAGTGTAGCGCAAAACAAATGTTATGTCTTAAGTGATAAAACTTTTAGTTTATGAAAATATTGCTTTTCAGTTGAGAAGTTTTGGACAATTTTAGAAATAAAGAAAAGTCGCAAATTTTAGGAATATATAAACTGAAAGTGTATTTTATAACAAAAGTATAAAGAGTTCAACCATTGAGTAAAGTGTTCTTTACTCAATGGTTCAACCATAACTTTAATTTTGCACCACCAAGTATTATTTTATTTTTTTGTTTAGAATAATTATGATTGTTATTTAAAGATTTCTTATTTGTTTATGTACATTTACTACAGAGTCAACATGCAGAATTTTGAAAAGGCAACTTAAATTAGGCTTTGCAATAATAAAATTTTAAAATTCCGAATTTTGGATATGGTATTCCTGGCGGTTTATGGGTAAAATGTAAAATTTCCATAAATTTTTAAATTGCCATTCTTAACTTCAAATTTGAGTTGTCAGTTTTCTTGTGCATAAGCGATTTATTTTAATCAAAACTTTCTGTATTGTTTCTAAACTTAACATTTTTTCCTTTTTTATATTCTGACACTCTAAAATTGTAATTTGTTATGTCCAATTAAAGATTCACTGTTTTATAACCCTGTTTATTTTTTTACATTAATAATGTTGAATTGTGAGAATTTCATAAAGATGTACTATTTTTAATTGCAAAGCCTTTTTAGAATTGTCACTTTAAGGGGATTTTAAAAATTCTATATACAGTACATCTAAACAGTAAGAAAGCAGCATGGTTTGATATTGATTTTAGGATGTTAAAAAAATCTTTTGTCCTATAAAATGTTAAAAATAATTTATTTTACGCACTATTGTAGTTTAACCTGTTGTATTTGTATTTTTTAAAATCTAATACCATGAAATTTACTTAGGTTTTAAGAGAAAGAACAGTTTTTAAGCTTTTAAAAGCATTTCTAGTTTTTTGAGAGTTAGTACAAAATCTAGGTAAAATACTTAACTTGTTGGTTAGATTACAAAATTTTAGGCCAAATTTCATACCGGTTGTTCTTTCTTTAAAACGGTTTACTGCGTATCAAAAATTTACTTAAAAATTAAAAACACTTATATCAGTACGTTTTCTTTGAGATAGATATTTACAAATGCATCTGATATTTACAATGCTATCGGGAATTTAGGTAAACTATTGGTGTGATATTTTAGACTAAAAATTGAAAAGTCTTACTAAATATTGGCCTTGCTCCTACCAAGCATTTTGACAGTGCAACAGCTTGGTAGAAACAAACATGATGATATTGTATAGCTATGCTATTTAATAGGAATTCGTTAAGGGTATTAAACTTTATTTAACAAGCTGTTTATCAATTAAGGTGGATTCACACAGATCTCGTGAGCTTAGTGTGAATCAACCTTTGGGAAGCACCTTATGATTTATTTTTTCGCTTTTAAATCATCGATTAGTTATTAGCAATAATTATTAGTTTCGTGTTTTAATAAGCCAAACATCTAAACAAACGTTTGGCTGTGGATTTAAGTAATACTGTTATTATCACCAAAACGGCATCTATTTATTATTTGATCCCATTTTTCTCCTATTCGCGATATATTGTTTCGGCAGTACTTGTCTAATTTATCATTTGTAATGGTCAATAAATATTTTCATTTGATTTCATTTGGGACATGTTTACTATTTTGGACCCCTTGATATTTTTAAAAAGTAAACTGTATACTTGTGACAGGTCCTCCTTCAACCAGCTATTTCTTAATTTCTCAACCCTTCCTTCAATATTTGGTCATTATACTATTTTAAGGCTCTGCCATTTGTCAGTTGTCCTTAACATTTTTCATTAAAAAAATTCATAAATAAGAACTTAAAATAACAAAAATTAATAGAAAATGTTTCAATTAAATGTAAAAACAGAAAAAATGATTTACATTTTTCTCAATACTCTGACCATTATAAACAAAAAATTGGACCTGTCTGCACTAGTTATCATTAAAATGTATACGTCACCGTTTCATGTTATTCGTGCTTTCGCAAAGTCTCGTGATCACTCGCGTTCCCACCGGAATCATATCGAAGCCCTGTGATTGGGGCAGATTACAGGGACGGGCACCAGGGGCCCTTGCGGCAGATGCAACTCGTGCATCGGAAGCACTGGCAACAAATGTCTAATTTGAGTGGGGGATCTACGAACCGTGAACCTGAAAAGTGCCGAAATGTTAGTTTTGTTTTGAGCATTTTGGGGATTTTTATTATATCAGGAGAACTATGAATTTAATCGGTTAAACTAGGCTCAGTAGTTTTTTGTTTGGTTTTTCTTGGAAAATGTTGCATGAAACTATTTTCCAAAATAAAAAACTTACTGAGCATAGTTTGACAGATTAAATTTATAGGTTGAGTGTTATACGTCTAGATTATTTCTCGAATTAAAGGAAACTATTTGAAAATTTATAAAATCTGACGTATGTGTCAAAATTTATAAATATTATATATATATTCCATTAATTTACGGTATGTAATAAGTAATAATTGATATTTCGTAAACTAGATAACTTATTTTTTATTGATTTTTAAAAAATGTTTGTTAAAACTTGTAAATAACACCATAAAATCGTAAACAAAAATCCAATATGGAGGCTAAAATTTAATCGCTGTTAAATAGTTCTAGTGATTTAATCGCTTATTTAAACGAAATTTATTCGAAAATTCAATTCAAAAGATTGGTTCATATTATGAGGGAAATAATCATTGAAAAAACCGTCCGACATGGGACAAATTACACTTGTACAGTTAAAAATAAAGACAAATAATTTTTTGTAACATTTTAAATTTTTTGAAATTCATAAAATTTAAAATAAATGTCGTATCTACCATTTTTTATGTTAAATATAAATTTATAGGGTAAACCACATAGATATTGGACACTTAATAAGGAATATTATTTATTTAAAATTTATATATGCCGTTATTCTTATAAATATATAAAAAGGATAGTTTGTTTGTTTAAACTTTATTCACGTTTACTTAAAAATAAGAATACCTATAGTATAATAAGAATAGTTTTATAAAAATATGCAAAAAAGTATAGTAATTGGACATTTTATATAGTAATTGGACACCTGGACCATAGTTATTGGACATACAATTTTTATATAAACATAACATCAAATAACATAAATTTTTAAATATTTTTAAAAGATAAATTGGCCTGACTTCTGAAATAGTTTGTTGCAAATAGTATTTTTTTCCGAATTTATTAATTTTGTTGCCATAAGTTTTTTATGTTCTCTATCATGCACTTTATTTAAATCACTGTTATTTTGCAAGATGTAATGTGAGGAAGAAATCATTGTATTACTTACTCTCTAAAAATGAATTAGTCAAAAATGTCATAGCGATAAAGCAGCCACTAATAATTATCGTCAACAACAATTTGTATCCAGGACATTTAGCAGTCAATTCCTATGAAATATTATTCGCTGAATCGGAAAATATCGTTATAAAAGTAGAACAGTTTTTGAAATATAATCAATTTTACATATATGGAATTGACTATATCTCAAAAACTGCTTTTATAGTTTTTGACGGTCTTTTCGAATTCAGGGGATAATTTTACATAAGAATTGGTCCGAGATACAAGTATGATATTAGACATATGTCCAATAATATGCATTTATGCCACACACTGATCTGTACACTTTTTAGAAATATTTTTTATTGTAATTTAAACAGTGTTGTAACAGTTACAATATTTTCAGCAGTGGCGTGCAGGACGGGCCCCGCAGGGCCCGCGGTGCGGGGGGGCCCCCGACCTTAGGGGGGCCCCGTAGAGAACCACATTGGGTGGTATAAGTGACAAAGGGGCCCCAGCTTAAAATTTGCGGGGGGGCCCCCGATCACCTTTGCACGCTACTGATTTTCAGTATCTAGCTACAGTTACAGTTACTTACCAAAATTTGTAACTAGATACAGATACAGATACATATTTTATTGCAGTAACTAGTTACAGATACAATTACCTTCAAAAAGTATCTAGATACTTTAAGATACATACAAATTATTTTTTGCTTTAAAAAATTTAAAATAGAAATAAAAGGGAATTTTAAAGTGACAACAAAAATATATATGTATGTTTATTTTTTTTATAATATTTAACTTAAAATAACTTATTTTTTATAATATTTATTTTTTTTAAATAAATAATAGTCGCAGTTTAATTAAAAATGTATATTTGTATCTTAGCACACCTAGTTACTTAGAATTTGTAACTAGTTACAGTTATAGTTACTAGATTGGGATAAGTAACTAGTTACACAAACAGATACATAAAGAGTATCTAGATACTGTATCTAGTTACTTGTACACTGAATTTAAACACAGCCCTGCTCTTAACAAAAAAAACAAAAATCTTACCACCAAAGTAACGTGCGAACTTTTTTGTCCCTTATTGGATCCAAAATAAAGTAGTTCTATATTATTACCGACTGAGATATTTATAATTTGTACAGCGTCATCTAATGATTTGACTTTGAGGTTACTATTTATAGAACTTGTTTTTACAGTAATGTTAATTGTCCAATAACTATAAAGTGTCCGGTAACTATGTTTTTCGCACAATTTTTAAATTTTGAACTACCGTTCGAATTATTATTATAAACATAGAAAACGGTAAGACATTTATTTTAAATTTTATAAATTACGAAAAATTTAGAATGTTAAAACAATTAAATTGACAAAATGTTCAATCATTTGAAATTTTTTAAAATTAGCATAGCATTTGAGTCCACTAACCGAGACCTTTTTTATATAGTTTCCCAAAATTGGCTGCCCAATGTAGGTAGGCTACTCAGCTTACAAAGACTTTAAGTTGGATAGCTTCCAGAGTTATTTACCTTTACCCTTGGGCCGTCAATTTTGTTTTTTTGAAAAATTGTTGCCAAAAATTTCTGAGGCAAAAATGATACTTACCTATGTCTTGTGTTGGTGGGTATGCAACCGCATGGGCACGAACATACGGACGCGTCATCTATGTCTAGAGAAGTCGTTTCTGTGACATGGTGACCCAATTGGCCGCTAAGAATTGACCCGTTTGCAGTGATCACATCTCCCTCTAACCGTACAGCTCCAGCCAATGCCTAAAAGTGACATATGGTTGGATTTTTAGGTCTACTAAATAAATTATTTTGTCAACGAAATATCCTCCAGGAAATTTTGCAGTACAATGGTGATTAGGCGATAAAAAAGCATTGTCTTCCAACCACTACACCTTATGGGTAAGATAAGACAAGAAATAACGTTAAATACCTGCATAGCTTGTGCTTCGTCCCTTCGCTCGTCTTCGGTGTTCATCGTTACAAATCGCAGCACGAGCAAGTTAAGAGAAGCAGCGACGATTGCCAGGCCGAAGAGTATGAAAATTAGGGCGAACATGACGTATTCGGGCTTTTTGCTCAAAGCGTTGTCTTTCTGAAGGGCCACCTGCGAACAACAACAACACTTGAACCCCGCATCTTGAACTTGCGCTTGCAGCGTCAACGAAACACTTGACACGACAAGACGGCACTCGACAACCCTTTCCCAATGAAAATGTTTTGATAACAAGCCGATTTCATCACTAACTAACTAAGCAAAAATGCATCCCTTTGTGTTCCTTGTTAGTTCTCGTTTTATTCAAGTTTCACATCCTTATACATTTTACAAATTATCGTTCAAAGTTTGGACATTTTTAAAAAATAAAAAAACATTTATTTACGTACCATGTCTCCAAATCCTATAGTGGTAAGCGTAATGAAGCAATAGTAGACAGAGTCGAAGTAAGTCCATCCTTCGTATCTCGAGAAAGCGGCCGCTCCGCCCGCTATCGTAAGCGAACTTAAGAACGTAACCACACAAATCAAATCCAGTTCGGATGCTGTCGTTTGTCTACAGTTCAGCGACGATTTTACCGAACGTATTATCACACTATAAAAGAAAAACGATGAAGTTAGTTCTGCTGTCAGTTAAGCAGAGCGAATAACGCCTCGCGCGCGGAATTGTGCCCAGGCAATAAAAAAACAAAATAATGAAAATATAACAATCTTAACCCTAATTGCGAAAATTAAAAATATATTTATATGGATGGATATAAAACAAATAAAATATCTTGGTAATAATTAAAAAAATACATTTTTTAAATTTCAATGCAATGGGAATTTTATCCGATGAAAATTTTATCCTATGGGAATTTTAACCGATGGGAATTTTAACTAATGGAAATTTTATCCAATGGGAATTTTAGCCAATGGGAATTTTATCTAATGGGAATTTTATCCAGTGGAAATTTTAGCCAATGGGAATTTTCTCCAGCGGAAATTTTATCCAATGGGAATTTTATCCAGTGGGAATTTTATCTAATGGAAATTTTATCCAATGGGAATTTTATCTAATGGAAATTTTTTCCGATGAAAATTTTATCCAGTCATGATTCATATAAAAAAAACTTGTTGCTTAATAAAAGCAGCTAAATCTATGTCATCTGTGTAGTGTGTTCCCCAATACACCACAATAATAAAATAAGAAATTACACAAACGCGTCTTTTTAGAATTCAACAATATACAAAACTCAATATCAATAAAAAGATATCCATTTTCTTTATCTAGAGTTGGATCAATCCATATCAAATCAATTATTTAATTTAAAAAGTTTTAAAGATTTTTTTTACTACGACACTTAAATAATTTTTTAAATCATATAAACTTAAAAGTTTATCAGTGATTTTATTTACACCAACACAAAATTTTTTATACATTTTATGATCCTTGACGTGGTACAAATATGAAAAAAAAAATTGGTTGATTGGTTGATTATTATTTCTAAATTTAGCTTCTCGAATTTAAAGCTTAATATTGCTTAATTGCAATAACTTATCCGTTAAAGTTATATTCAAATTTGCATAGAAATGGGGTTATCTAAACCAATTTATATGCTAAATAATTCATGATATTAATAGTTGTAAAAATGGCGAATGCGCCGGTGTTACTGCACTGAGAAAATCTTAGATACTGGAGCAGAGAAAATTCTCATTGGGTAGTAGAGGCAAATTCCCAATACCGGCAAAAAGTGAATATCTGGGCAGGAATGGTGAAAACTCGGATCATAGATAGACGAGAATATGACAGGATAAATTTATTTGGAATTTTTGCAAAACTCTCTTATTCCCACATTATCAGAAATGTTTTCCAATGATAATGGAGATACCGAACTACCAACTTTATGAGAAAATTGGCAAGAACCTAAATATGCGTTAAAATTTAGTAACAGCAATCAATAATTGAGAAAAGGGGCATATACAATTGATTTTCTGCCAATATTAACATTTCCTAACGAATTCGTTTAAATCGCATTTCGGAGATTGAGTAAATTCCGGAATCGATTACTCGGCATACGTGACATGTCTAATGCAGAAATACACCCCGCGAATTTACATGTGCAACCGGGAATGTATTTTTGAATGGGAAAAAAGTTAAAGTTCAGATCTATAGCCAAGTCAAACCTATTTTGTTCGCATCGGAATCTTTGGCTATCACGTTTCCGATTTCTAAATTTAGTTTTAGTCGAAAACAATGAAAGTTTTTATTCCATCTATTTACTTCAACTTTTACGAACTGCATCGCAAACATCCTTATACTTAATGGATAGCGCTGTGAATGAAAACTTTTGTTCTATTTTCAGTTAATGCATATTACGAAAGTTGGACAACTTTAAATTTATTAGCCATGTAGGTTGTAGTAATCTACTACAGATGAATATCGCGGGGCATTCGCCAATTTTGCAAACGGTGGGTTATTTTATTTGCTTTACAAGTTTTATGTGCTTTACTATACAGGGTGTACAATGGTTTGATACGGAGTTCAGGGATAAGTGGATAGGCAGAAATGGTCTTCATCTAAGGGCTCCACAACTCATACCTTTGGGGACAACTGAAGCAGATCGTTTATGCTGAACTGTGAAACATGATAAAAATGTGCTGAAGGATAGAATAAGGAATGCGATTCAATCGTTGATCTATGAAGAGATCAGTAAAAGTTATTTGGACTTGAAATGTCCTTTAACCTAATAGGATCATCATAAGTAAAGGTATATGGCAAAATGTTGTAGTACTGTGCTATTTACTGAAATGAAATGAAAAATCTTGTCACCTGCTGAGCCTGTTGACCCTCTCTCCTATGCTCTGGAACATGACAAGTCCCAAAGGTATTCCGATCATTGCGTAGCACATGGTGAACAGTTTTCCGGATATGGTGCTGGGCGTCGAGTGGCCGTAGCCGATGGTAGTCAGCACCGTAGTGGCGTAGTAGAAGGCTCCTGTGAACTTCCATTGTTGCCCAGCTCGATGGGGCTCCGACTTGAGCACCACAGTCTCCATGATGCGAAAGTCCTCTTCAGTGATGTTGTATTTGCGACGAACGATCGTTTGGATTTCTAAACAAAAATCATTTTACTGCAATGTCTTAATCTTACTGCTAAATCTACCATATTAATTCTAATTGAGGATCCTAGAAGCCAAGGGGTATAGGTACATTTTGTTTAGTTTTGAGATAATCATGTTTAAAGTAAAAAACACTTGTAATTTGGAGTCAAAATTGTTTGTTTTTTTATGTCTTTTCAAGATGTCTAAGCTTAAAATTTAGTTACCTATATCCCTTGGATACCAAGTAAAATTCTCTTCACGTGTTCATTGAACAACGTTGGTGAAAAGTACTTTGGGTTTTGTTTCTAATATTTCTGACGTACCTTGGAGGACCACTTTGCGTTGGTTCTCGGTCTTGGACTCTAGGGCGTCGAATACAGCGGCCCCTATGAGCAAATAGGTGAACGTGCAAACGATCAGAGATAGGGTGCGTACGTTTTGCTTCTTCATCCTCTTCTAACGCACATGGTGGCGCCGCGGGGGGCCGGGGGGCTCCCGTGCCGCTAGCTGCACACGCCCCCCCAAACCCCTCCCCCAACCCCTCGGCATCGACCCCCTCGCCTCCCTCTTCGCCGCGCGGATGTTTTTTCTCTTCTGCTTTCTTGTCGCTGGGTTTTTGCCGAGGTTTTTTGCCGCCAAGCTTGGTTTTGAAAGTGCCAACAGTTTCTTGGATGATGAGAGGAGACACATACAGCAAAGTCTGAAAAAAATAATAAAGAAAAAAGTTCTTAGTGGAAGAAGTATAGTTCTCTTGAAAACAAATGTTTCTTCTTTCAACCAATTTCAAAGTGTTTTTGTTCAAAAGCTATGAAAATTATTTATATTCACGCAAATCATTCAAGATACATCACAATTATCCCAATAGCATGTCAATTTTACAACAAAATCTGGTAGCTTCTGATACATGGGAGGGGATGCAAAACGCGCTTTATGTAACACGTGTTTAGTACGTTTTGTATCATTGCAACTTGCAATTCGCCATTTTCTAGGAGCAGTGATATACTATTATAATTCTATTATAGGTATTTCTACTATACATTTTGCCTGTTGTGTTGTGTTGTGAGGTGTTGTATGTACTTTTACAGTGGAGTTGGAATCAATAAAACTCTTTTTAAATTAATGAAAGTTAATTAATTTGATTGTATTAATTAAAATATGTAATAAAAATGTTATGTTTATGTTTAAATCATATTTATGTTACTTTATTAGTGTTACTATAAAAAACTTGCGCTTTTGTTGATATCGAACAATAAATGTCTTTTTTTGTAAACCTTTTTTTCAGTCAATCTTCTAGTTTTTAACGATGCCAATATTTAGGCTTGAACTCCCCTCACTACATTGGACCAAGAGATATTTCTAAAAAAATTACTTGAATGGAAATATAGTTTCTGATTTAGATTAAGAAACATACCTTAAAAGCGCAAATCTTTTGAATCAAAGTGATTTTCACTTCTTTTAAGAGATATTTTTTTCAGTTCTTAGAATAAAAATTACAGAACGAGAAAATTAAAAAAAAAATACAAAAACATTCAGTGAGATTAAAACATGGCGTTTTAGTCACAGATGAAGCTAAAATGGCGTTTATAAAACTTGATACATATATGAATATATATTATAATTAGTGATGGGATTTTAGTTATTTTACCTTTTTTCAGCTGATGTAACTATTTGAAAACCAATAATGCCAAAATGTGTTTTAAAAGATTTTCTTTTATATGAACCTAACTTGTTTTCACCTTTTTTACCTTTTTTGGAGGTTTTTGCTTTAAACTACCTTTTTTATACTTTTGTTACCTATTTTTTCACTTGTTTTTACCTTTTTTATAAAGGTATACCTTTTTTGGAGGTTTTTGCTTTAAAGTACCTTTTTATACTTTTGTTACCTATTTTTTAATTTGTCAGTTTATTTTCACCTATTTGTTACCTATTTTTACGTATTTTTACTTATTTTATTTTTTTGTGCTCTTTTTAAATTTTGCGCCAATATTTTATCCAGGGCGTGCAACTCAACGGTATAGAATTTTTTCTTATGGTCACAGACTGTAACAGTAACTTTCTTTACAGTTACCTTCTTTGTAGTGAGCTTATGTTCTGTCATAGAACTTCTGTGTAGTGAGTGTCACTTAGTGAAACACAGTTTATTGCATATAAATAGTTTATTGTGGGTATGTTCTCTATTTGGGTATGCGGCTAAACAAAATTATAAACGAAACTTGAACTTTTAATGTTTTTTTTACCTAAAATACTGTTTTTTAAGCTAAAATGCTTTTTTTAGTATCTTTTTAGTTACATATTTTTCAGTTTTTAGTACCTAAATATCCCATCTCTAATTATAATATACAATTACCTACAATATTGAATATTGAATTTAAGTATTTCCTATAGGTACATTTAGATAATTTATTGTTATATTTGTGTAAACAATCACTGAAGCAACAAAAATCAGCATTATCTAATAAATAAACAAGAACTTATCAACAAACTAAACTAATACATAGTGCCGCCTAGAATTATTTTCTAAATAAACACATCCCTGGAAAAAAGAAAAAAATTTACTTTGTATTATTTGTATTCAAACTTCGTTTTTAATTACAAACAACTTTTTCTTATAAACATTAAAAAAGAAATAAAGGTAGTTCTTTGAAAGAAGTTCTTTTTCTAGCCACTAATTTTTGTATGTCAATTCTCTATCAAAAAAACACAAAAATATAAAATTTTCGCTCTTGTAAACTTAATCCCAAACTGTGATGTTTTTGGATTGATCCTTATTACCATATCAATCCTTTTTTACATTTCCATATAAAATGCTTGGAATATTCTATTTTCAAATAATAGAAGTCAGTACATTAACCTTTATTTATTATTATTTTTATTTTATTTAATATATATTCTCATTAAGCATGTTTAACTTTGAACGCTGATTTAACACTTTTTATGCCAGTTTGTGACCCATTTAGACACCCCATTTTCTGGCAAAACAAGCTATTTGGGCACTGCGGCGATAAATGTTTTTTGTCAACTTAATTCACCGCAAACTCTTAAATATTCTAAAAATAAACGAGACCAAAATTAATTTTGTTACATCAAAGTAAAACGGTTTATTTCAAAAATTAAATTGTGGGCACTTTTTCTTTAAGGTGGATTATTGTGTGAAAAGTAATTGAACTTTTAAAGGTGGTAATTAGTTTTTCAAACGTAGTTTCATTTTGTTAACGCGTTGATTTTGAAGTTTACGAGGTGGCAAAATTATGAAACAAATTCATTAAAAAATGTTAAAGCCCCAACCCAAAACATATTGATTTATTTCACGTTTTATAAGACAGTTAAAAATGGGTTGGTATATTTGGGCCACCAAGAAGTCCCGATTTATCAACATGGACATTTTTTAGTCTAAAGAAAATCCCATATTAAGAAGGCAAATTTCCTTCAATTAATTAAATTCCTTCGTGAATCGCTGGAATAAAATTGTCTTAAAATTGGAACAGAGCAGTGGTAGGATTGGATGTTCCAATTTGCGGAAAGCAGATAAGGCTCGAAAGACAGGGGTTTAATATATTAGGTGCAGTTCGTTTTATGCAATCATTGTAAAATAAAAGCAGAAAACATCTCAGGGACTTTTAGCCTTAAAAGAATGGTTACGGTGCTCTTTTAAGAGGTCATTTTCGGACTTTAATATATTCTATTTAGTATAACTAAGAATTTAAAATAAATGTTGTTAATTTATAAATTCTTATTTATATTTTTTATTGTATACATTTTAAGAACTTTGCCCTATAAATTTATATTATAATATATCTTGTTCAGAAATAACGGGAATTGTTAAATTTCGCGGGTTCGGAGGGTCCGGTTGTCATAAAATTTTCTTTATTATGTTGGTATACATGCCCCCGAAGTATATCATTGTTTACTTTGTCTGTGGCAGCCTCTAAGGTTAGACGTGTTTTATGAGCTCGGCGATTTTCGTTCGTTCGAAAGAACTGGATCAAAGAATTTGTATCCAACTTTGCTTAAAAAATGAAATAAATTCTGTGAAATTTTAACAAAGGCCTATAGTGAGTCTGCTATAAGTAAAACAAGAGTTTACAAGTGATATAAGAGTTTCCGAGATGGCCGTGAAGACGTTGAAGATGACGAACGCCCCGAACGCACAAGCACATTAACAACCGATAAAAACATGGAAAAAGTGGAAGAAATGGTTATAAACCATCAGAGAAGTCGCTGATGATGTTGGTATATCGATTGGCTCATCCCATGAAATTTTTTCGAATGTTTTGGGTATGAAACGCGTGGCAGCAAAATTGTTAAATTTTGAACAAAATTTTTGGCCAAAAACAATATTGTAATGATGCCCCAGCCTCCATATTCGCCAGACATGCCTCTGTCTGACTTTTTCCTATTCCCAAAAATGAAGAGAATCTTAAAGGGCCGTCGTTTTGCAAGCATATATGACATTAAAAGCGCATCGCTGAAAGAACTAAAGGCTATCCCAAAGATCGAGTTTTAGAAGTGTTTAGAGTATTTGAAGAAGAGCTGGCACATGTGCATAATATCCAATGGGGACTATTTTGAAGGCGACAACATTAATGTAGACGAATAAATAAATATTTGTTTCAAAAAACGAAAATTCCCGATATTTTCTGAACACACCTCGTAAATACCAATGTTCTTTATGAAATTATGCGATAAAATCTATTAATTTAATTATTTTATCTAGTGACCCATATTTTCTTGTTATAGATTGTTGATACATGTGTTGATAAAACGTTAAACAATCTATAATATTGTTATTAAATTTAGTAAACAAAATTTCATCTTCACCTCCCCTAAATTCATCAAAACACCTTTGGACATTTTATACTAAAAAAAGTAATAAACCTTAATCAATACCAACATATTTATTTGATATCGGAGTGCTTTCTTAGGATTTGCAGACAAAACATAAATTTTATATATCCCGTGAAAAAAGGAATCGCCGTCACGTCCTAAATCACTCACTTTTTGCGGCCAGAAGTAACTCATAAAATCTAAATGAGCGTTAATAAAAAAGTTTTGCACTGGAGATTTCGGATGATTTAAGAAGTTGGCGAAAAGCAAAGTAAGTGGTTTAGATGGGGCGACACAAACATCAGTTGTAAACAAGAAAAGAAAATTCTACTTGTTTGGATATGAATTTTATTTTTATCTTATGTATTGGGTGGGTTTGATTTTTTTTATTGTTTTAGTTATATTTTTTTCTCTTATCACCCTACTGTAGAAAAAACGTACCTTTTTAAAGAAAATTAAATTTTCTACAAGTTTGTTCCTTAAATTTTTTTGATGAATCCAGTCACTTTTGAAATATTTTAAAAAATATGAGAATTTTTCACTAAAATCAGATTAAGTGACCCGTACCATCCTACAGGTGCAGATTACAGCTATGGCACATAAAGCATTTTTGTAGAACAATTCATTACGAGGAAATCCCTTTTTGGAACAATCCAAGAGCATAAAATGTGGATGAGATATAGGTACGAGGTGTGTTCAGAAAATATCGGGAATTTTCGTTTTTTGAAACAAATATTTATTTATTCGTCTACATTAATGTTGTCGCCTTCAAAATAGTCTCCATTGGATATTATGCACATGTGCCAGCTCTTCTTCCAATACTCGAAACACTTCTAAAACTCGATCTTTGGGATAGCTTTTAGTTCTTTCAGCGATGCGCTTTTAATGTCATCTATGCTTGCAAAACGACGGCCCTTTAAGGTTCTCTTTATTTTTGGGAATAGAAAGATGTCAGACAGAGGCATGTATAGCGAATATGGAGGCTGGGGCATCATTACAGTATTGTTTTTGGCCAAAAATTTTGTTCAAAATTTAACAATTTTGGAACAAATTTTGCTGCCACGCGTTTCATACCCAAAACATTCGAAAAAATTTCATGGGATGAGCCAATCGATATACCAACATCATCAGCTACTTCTCTGATGGTTTATAACCATTTCTTCCACTTTTTCCATGTTTTTATCGGTTGTTAATGTGCTTGTGCGTTCGGGGCGTTCGTCATCTTGGAAACTCTTATACCACTTGTAAACTCTTGTTTTACTTATAGCAGACTCACTACAGGCCTTTGTTAACATTTCTCAGAATTTATTTCATTTTTTAAGCAAAATTGGATACAAATTCTTTGATCCATTTCTTTTAACGAACGAAAATCGCCGAGCTCATAAAACACTTCTAACCTTAGCGGCTGCCACAGACAAAGTAAACAATGAAAACAGCTAAAGTTTTTATCATACTTCGGGGGCATGTATACCAATATAATAAAAAAAAAATGACAACCGGGCCCTCCGAACCCGCGAAATTTAACAATTCCCGTTATTTTCTGAACACACCTCGTAAGTTTACGTGTATTTTAAATGGGAAATCTTTATACGCTTTGGGAGAGTACTTAGAGTTAATATTAAGCGTTCAAATTTTCATGGAAATATTTTTTGAATATTTTCAACAAGATTTTGAGTGGGAAGCGAAAAAATAAAAATAGTCGCGCACCTAATATATAGGTTTAGATGCTTTTCTATAATTTTTGTGATAATGTTCTTTTTTGTTTAGGTTTTGGATAATTTGTCTATTAAACCAAGGAAGTAAACATGATTACTTTTGATATATATATTAGGGTGTCCCAAAAAAAAAGAATATTTTTTTTCTTCTCTTCTCTTGTGAAAATATGTTGGTTTGTCATGTTTTAAGAGCCCTGTCAAAATATCAGCACCATTAAAAAATTTTTAGGGGTCGCTCAAGATTTTTAAAAATTACCAAAATCGTCAAAAATTGGATTTTTTTTTTATTTCAATTTTTTTTCTCTTTCCGATATTATTTTTTAATTTAAAAATAATAATGATTCTGAAAATTTTAAATCGATATTTTAATTTCTAAAGGTCGCTCAAGATTTTTTAACTTTCAAAGTAGAGTATTTTGAATGTTTTCGAGCGACCTCTGAATATAAATATCAACGAACTTTTAGCGACCTTTAGAAATCAAAATATTGATTTGAAATTTACAGAATATTTATTATTTTCAACCTAAAAATAATATTAAGACGAGAAAAAGAATTAAAATAAAACAAAAATTCAATTTTTGACCATTTTGAAAATTTTTAAAAATCTTGAGCGACCCCTACAAAATTTTTAATCGAGCTGATATTTTGAAAAGGCTCTCACAGCATGATAAACTAACATATTTTTAAAAGAGACAAGAAAAAAAAATATATTCTTTTTTTTTGGGACACCCTAATATATATATATATATATATATATTTATATATTTATATATATATTTCTTCAATGGAATAGAACTATCAAATACTTCAAATATCTTGATATACAACATATCATACATTTCGTCAACAGTATTGCATAGATTTAAATTCGACCAATAAATTTTTAATAATAAATCATAAAGGAGTAAAACCACATTTACTAAGGGGTGTTCTTCACGATTAGGTTTATATTACATTTATATCTATACCTATATATCGCCTCTGAATTTTATTACTCATACATGTACCTATGTATACCTATATACATATAAATTGATATCTTAAAGATAAGGTTCTAAGGGAAAAAAATGGGACATTTTTTTATGTATTAGCACATAATAATTTCATATTTGAAAAAAAAATAAGAAATAAAGAAAATACAAATTTGAAAACATTTTTTTTGCCTATTTTTCCTTTATTACGTTTGAAATTGATTTAAAATACTACATAAAATAATATTATTTTTGTTTAAATTACCTTATTTTTGGAATAAAACAAATTTTTAAAATTAATGGCATTTTCTTTTGTTAGAATATGTTGATTTTAGGATGCTTTTACTTATTAAATATTATATAACCTTTGAATTTACCATAAGGTTGGTAAATTAAAAATAAAGTAAAAAGTTGAAATTGTTAATTGTGTTAAAGAATAAAAAGCTATTTACTTTAGTTTGATTTAATTGTTCAAATCTATATCAGACTTATTATGATTTTCTTTAAAAAATTATGGTTAAAATTTAACTTAATTTTTAACAAAATAACAGAGATCAAAAAGTAACAAAAACGACGATTTCAATTTAAATACAAAATTGATTTAATAAAAGCTCGACCCAAGAGTAACTTTTTGCCGCAACGGCCGCAAACTTTTGACATTTGTGATAAACGTGGTTTGGATAGGATATTATGACATGATGCTATAGGTAAAGTTAATAATAAATGTGTTTACCTTCCTGTTGCCAAAATAAGTTCAAATTTGCACCCTTATTAAACAATAATTAAAGTTTTATTTTTAATATAAAGTTTGATTTGTTATATCAAAAATGTATAAGCGACAAAATCACTTTCATTATTTTTTCGTTTATCACCATTTCTGAAATGTTTTTCTAGAAATATTGAATCCGCATTGAGCTTTCTTAGCTTTACCACAGTTTTTTGAAGACTTCAACAAGATAACTGTTTTTTTATGTGGGGTCATTTAAAAAGTCAGTCAAAAGAAAGTTGTGGCAGACATTTTGAGCATTTAACCAAATTGTTTATAAACAGTCACATTTATAATATGGCGCTTTTAATACATCAATTAAAACGATCGAGTAATAACATAAACATGCCTCAAAATCTTTACCTTGTAAGTCTTAAATCATAATCTCGTCGAATCTGAAACCTCCACTGCGAATTTCACTGTGTGCCGAAATCACTGGTGCATTATTAATTTATATGCAACACAATTTTTAGAGAAATCACACATTGTTGCCGGTTTGGCGCCCTGGTCTATTCGCGAGCGAACTAACAGAAGCAGAGGTTCTTTTCGGTGAATTTTTTTGCGGATATTGTTTGGCACAGATTCCGGCGTTAGTGCGTCGGGATCTGGACCGGTCGAGCTCTTCTGTCGTAGCGACACGCGGTCCATCCGCGAAAATCGATACGCACGTCGCAGTGACGTCACCAGGCGTCGATGTACGCTCTGTGGATCTCATCTCAGAGGTTTTGGCGCCGTGCATGGACCCGAAGCGGCACATTCAAAATTTAGGACTAAATGAAGCTGCATCAGAGGCCGAAACGAAAACGAGAAAATTGCCTTGTAGGTTATTTATCCCGGCGCATTCGCCATTTTTGAGAGTATTGTGTTAAATACACAGTATAAAATATTTCGGTGTTAAGTTACCAAATGGAGTGGTAAAATCATTTGGTGTTAATATATACACTAAAATTGGTCAAAAATATTAAGTGTTTATTTTAAATTGTGGTAAAATTCATTCGTGTTACGTAGTCATCATCATTCGCTAACGGCAAGGGCGCGATTTTAATTTGAGACTATGGTTTTTAAATTAAAATTCATATATAAATGGTTATAAAACCCACTGAAAAAATAAAAAAAATATTATTTTTATTTACAATGTAGTTTATTATGCTTAATAAGTCTTACTTAACACAGTTGACTTTGACTTGTCCAACACAATGTACACGGAGAGAAAAGTATAATGCTGATTACCATAATTATAATACCCTTTTCTAAAATTTATATTACTATTTGGGACAACTATCTTGTATATTGCCAGATACTATGCATATTTACTAAATATGCATAGTACCTAAATATTATTTAGTAATTTTTAAATATCCATGTTAAACTTTAAGGTAAAATATTATTATTCTCAAACAATTTTTTTTATAATTAGATTTTTTCCATTATTAATAAGTATAGTAAATTTTAAAATATGTTGGCATTTTAAATATAAAATATTTTAAAATCGAATATTTTTATTTGTTAACAATTAAAAATTGTAACATATTTATTGTACTTTTTAATATACAAAAATGTTATGAGAAAGAATTGAACCTACACCTCGCCAAAGTTTTTTGTTTTGAGTGCGTTCCATCAACTTCAAATACCGACAGACAGGTGTTTTGACCTATATTGGGTATCATCAGTGTCGACACGACACTGTCGAGCAACTTGTAGTACTGGAACACACCCAAAACAAAGAAATACCTGAGCTTATATAACATGGTTGGTAAGCCAACAGAGGCGAGATGTAAGAACGTGATCCACACCGTCTAACGACGCGTCGCGACGTGGCCTTTGCTGCAATCGGTACATACTATGCAACCAAGTAGGTTCAATTCTTTCTTATAAGTATTACCAGTAATGGGTCAAGAAAGTTTATTGAAGAAACTAAGAAAATTGAATGTTTGAAATGTCATGAGTTACTATGTATATTATATTTAAATATATTGTTTATTTACCTTAAACATAAAAGTATCTTTATGTTTACTATATTTTTTTATTAATGTGTAATATATTATAATATTAGATGTACACCTTACATTTGATTAAATCATATAGTAAATATTACTATTTGTAGATAGTAAAATCAATTTACTATTCGAACATATTAAAAATTAAAATATATATTATACATTTATGATTTAGTAATATTGGTGTTGTAATCTTTACTAAAATTGTATAATAAAAAATAGTATCTTGTATTACAATCCTAATATTGTATTGACGAATATATAATATTATTACCCTAAAAATTTGTTAAAGTAAATTTTACTATATTTTTTTTACTATCTAAAATTTACTCTACATTTTTCTCCGTGTAGGTAATATTGCATTATTGGAAAAAATAAATAAACTACCTAAACTAAAAAGTTAAAAAAAAGTTATTTATAATATTATTGCATTTTTTTCACAATACGGTTATTTTTGACCAGAGGATAGAAGATTTTTTAGATATAGAGATTAACATAGACAATTCTCTTATAACTATAACTAGGCCGGTTGTAGTTAGTAAGTACCGATTTGAAATTTGGTTTATGGATTGGTTTAATATTGAAATAAATAAATATTCCTATATAGTTTAAAAAATAACAACAGAAATGGAATAAAAATAATAATAATAAAAAAAAAATAAAACAATGTAGGTTGAACTTAGATAGGTAGGTACTCATCAGTTATATTTTCTTGTCATCAAAAGATGATAAAAATATTAAGTAGCTCAAATCAATGAATTTAATCTTGTTGAACCGTGTTTTAATTTTCCATTGTTTATAAATTTGATAAGGGATCTCCCGTGTATATAAATAATCGGCACAATTATGAGTATGCACCATTTACTTTGTGTTAATAAAGAGGTAAGTAACAACCAAAATAAAAAAAAAACAGTGAACTAAAATTATTTTTTATAGAATGAAGTTGGCTATTGTAGTAGTGGTAGTAGTAGCCCTGGCGATAGCACAGGCTGCCGCCACCCCCAAAATTCTCACGAAGGAGTTTATCGATTCCATCAACGAAAGACAGAATAGCTGGACCGCGGGCCAAAATTTCGACGAAAACATGTCCAGAGCTCACATGAAATCCCTTCTCGGTTTGAGGGAAGATTTCAGAAGGAACAGGCTTCCAGCCTTGACCCACGTCGATACCGATGTACCTGAAAATTTTGACGCCCGTGAGCAATGGCCGGACTGTAAGTCTATTGGTCAGGTCAAGGATCAGTCCGTGTGTGGATCTTGCTGGGTAAGGAAAAATGTATTTTGTGAAGTCGAAAACTACTTCGAGATTATTTATGTTAGGCTTTCGGTGCCGCTGAAGCAATGACTGACAGAATTTGCATCCACTCCGACGGTAAAGTAAAGAAGTCTGTATCTGCTGAAGATTTGATGACTTGTTGCTATGAGTGCGGTTTTGGTTGCGAAGGTGGTTTCCTTTACGAATCCTGGTCATACTGGGTGGATTCTGGTATTGCTACTGGAGGCGGATACAACACTTCTGATGTAAGATTTTGATGTAACCATTTGGGCAAACCAAACAATTTTTTATAGGGTTGCAGATCTTACTCCTTTGCTGAGTGCGAACACCATACAACTGGCTCCAAACCAACCTGTGGTGATTCTCAACCAACACCAGATTGTGTGAAGAAATGCGATGATTCGTCGATGAACTACAAAGAAGAATTGACTTTCGGTAAATCTGTTTACTCGATTACAGGCCCAAAACAAATCCAAATTGAAATCATGAAGAACGGACCAGTGGAAGCTGCGTTCACCGTATACGATGATTTCTTGCTCTACAAAAAGGGTAACTAACCAAAAACTCTTTATTAATTTATGATTTGTATGTTAAAATGTTTTCTCAGGAGTTTACAAGCACCTTAAAGGTGAATATTTGGGAGGACACGCCATTAAAATCTTGGGATGGGGCGTGGAAAACGATACTCCTTACTGGTTGATTGCCAACTCCTGGAATGAGGATTGGGGAGACCAAGGATACTTCAAGATCCTTCGTGGAAAGAACCATCTTGGCATTGAAGATGACGTTGTTGGAGGTCTACCAAAATTGGATTGAATCTAGGATGAACGATTTTTATAACTATGCTATTTTTGTAAAATTTAAATAAAAAAAAAATCTAGAAATTTGTTGATTTGTTTCCTGGTCAATATTTTCGACTTTTTCGGTATACCATATTTTGGACATTTCTTCAAAACTTCTTCGATTTCCGTCGGAAGAAATTAATTTTCTTCATCACTTTCCATGTCTACCTACCTCATAAAGTAAATATTTTTTATGGGTTTAAATTTTTTTTATAAAAATGAAATTACCAAAAATAAGGGCTTTTATAATTTTTTTCTGCCAAAAAACCCATAGTGCGCAGACAAACACACTTTTACAGTTATGATTATTATTAATGAATGGTTGCATCATTAATTAAAAACAAAATAAAAAACACATCTTCAACAAAATAACAAAGGTTATTTTTAAAACATTGTATCTTATCAGGTTTAACAAATTTTATAATTAAATTTGCTACTTTATGATACATCATCAAAATAAAGATAAAATAATTGCTTCAAATCAATTAAATAATCTTGTGTAGGATCTACAGTGTTCTAATTGTATATTGTCGATAAGATACATACAAAAATTATACAATTCCTAAGGGTGTATTTGTTTTTATTAAAAAAAAGTAAGTAAATTTCCTACAGGGTGATATGTAAAACGGTGAAAATTTCAATAACTTCATCCGTTTGTAAAAAAATTTTTTTTCTCGTTTTTACTTTGAAATAATGAATTATTATGTCTTACCTTGAAAAGATGATACGATGGTGAAAGATTGTTCCTTGAATAATTCTGAACAAGCAAAAAGCAACAAACTTCCATTATTTTAAGAGGGGCCTAAGCAAAAACCACTTTTTCAAAATGACATTTTGGTGAAAATTTGCGAAAACTAAACCTGAACCGATATTTACGTTCGTGACATGTTTTCCTTATAGGTTTGACCTCTTGATTGTGATTCAGTTGTCAAATTTAAGTTTCAGATAAAACCAAAATCACCAAGAATCAAAATTCGAAAACAATTCCCGGCTGTTAAATGTCTTAATAATATGCCATTGCCAATTCCATTTGGGGATTCATTCTTTGGGCGAAATTACTGCAATTTCTTTGAGTGGTTAGGATAATGTTACATAACTTACATTTACATTGCGCCCTAGTGATAACTAGCTAACGCTGATCAGTGATAAGTACCTATCTAATTCGTAATAAAGTTAAATAACAATATATTTGTTCATTTTTGAAAATTTTAAGATGTAATCATAATCAAAACTACAACATTCAACAGAAAAATGTAACAAACAATAACAATAATAACTTTCAATATTTCTTTGGCCCTCCCCTAACCCGTAATAATTCGTTAACCCTCCTGGGCATTTCCTCGACCAAGTTCCTTAGAAATTCCTGGGGTATGGCTTCCCATTCTTCCTGAATAGCATTTACCAATTCATCCAAATTTTCCATGCGTCCTTTCCTCTCTTTCATCTTCAGTTTCATCCTGCTCCACACATGCTCAATAGGATTCATATCCGGAGACAAAGGTGGCCAATTCGTTCTCTCAATATCGTGGTCCCTTAAATACTCATTTATGATATTGGCGCGGTGCCGACAGGCATTGTCGTCCCCCACCAAATTATTGGCAACATTTTGAGCATAAGGGACCACGATATCATTAACACAAATCTCTATATCTTTTAGCATTCATATCCAATTCACTCTTTTCATTCCATTCCACCCCAAACAGTCACTCCTCCACCTTCAAAAGCCACCCTTGCCTCCCGTTTCGTGCAATCTTCTGCGAACCGTTGATTTGGAGATGTAAAGTCCCGTAGCTGCAGCAAAGTATGGCATTGGCATTTTAATTTAAAGGAAGAATGTAAGTAACCTGGGTAAGATGGGCGTAGTATGTAGGTAGGTAGGTATAACTTGCAAAAAAAAACTTGGAAAAACACAAACAAACTGAAAAAAACAAGAATGCGTTTTGAATGTTTTTCAAGAACTAATTTTCATCATTTGATCCTTGATTTGATCATTCAGCGACTTGATAATAATGTATTAAAGATGCAAAACACAGTAAAAAAGCAGTTAAAACCAGCAATCGGATTGTATTGAGAGATTTACTTAATAGCCGGAAATTGTTTTCGAATTTTATTCTTGGGGATTTAGGTTTTATCTGAAACTTAAATTTGACAACTGAATCACAATCAGGTCAAAATTAAGAAGAAAATATGTCACGAACGTAAATATCGGTTCATGTTTAGATTTAGCAAATTTTCACTAAAATGTCATTTTGAAAAAGTGGTATTTGCTTAGGTTCCTCTGAAAATAATGGAAGTTTGTTGCTTGTCGCTTGTACAGAATTATTCAAGAAACAATCTTTCACCATCTTATCTTCTTGTTCTTAAAAAGGCTTAGTGTATTGCCTACAAAAAAGCATCAAATGTACTCTTAAAAAAAAATCATATTTTTGTTGCTAAGATTCCAATTTGAAAAATTTGAAAAACGTTTCAAGGTAAGACATAATACTTCATTATTTCAAAGTAAAAACGAGAAAAAAATATTTATTTTACAAACGGGGCTTGAAGTTATTGAAATTTTTCTCCGTTTTACATATCACGTGAGCTTCATATCTAAAGCATGAATTACCTGAGGATGAGGCTAGCAGACATCACAGACCAAAATAAAATAGTTCAAGAAACAAAAAAGATATGTCGTTTTGAAAATGGTCGCGACGCATTGAGTGGTGCGCAGTTTAGTTTATTGGTGTGGTCAGAGATTAGTTCGTGTGTGGATGTTGATGGGTAAGGAAAATTGTATTTTGTGTAGTTAATAACTATTTAGAGATTATTTATAAAAGGCTTTCGGTGCCGCTGAAGCTATGACTCACAGAATTTGCATTCACTCTAACGTTAGAGTAAAGAAGACTGTATCTGCTGAAGATTTGATGACTTGTTGCTATACCTGCGGTTATGGTGGCGATGGTGGTTACCTTTACCAATCCTGGTCATACTGGGTGGAATCTGGTATAGCTACTGGAGGCGTAAGAAATTGATAGAAGCACTCAATTGGGCAAACTAAACAACTCTTTATAGGGTTGCAGATCTTATTCCTTTGCTTGTTTCCTTAGGAGTTTACAAGCATATTAAGGTGAATTTTCGGGAGGGCACGCCAATAAAATCTTGGGATGGGATGTGAAAAACGATACTTCTTACTGGATGATTGTCAACTCCTAAAATGAGGATTGGGGAGACCAGGGATACTACTACAATGTAGGTTAAACTTAGGTAGGTACTCATCAGTTATATTTTGATGTCATCAAAAGATGATAAAACTTTTAAGTATGAATTTAATCTTATTGAATCTAGTGTTTTAATTTTCCATTGTTTATAAATTTGATAAGGTAATCTCCCGTGTATATAAATAATCGGCACAATTATTAGTATGCACCATTTAGTTTGTGTTAATAAATAGGTAAGTTACAACAAAGTTAAAAAAAAACAGTGAACCAAAATTATTCTTTATAGAATGAAGTTGGCTATTGTAGTAGTGGTAGTCGTAGCCCTGGCGATAGCCCAGGCTGCGGCCTCCCCCAAAATTCTTACGAAGGAGTTCATCGATTCCATCAACGAAAGACAGAATAGCTGGACCGCGGGCCAAAATTTCGACGAAAACATGTCCAGAGCTCACATGAAATCCCTTCTCGGTTTGAAGGAAGATTTTAGAAAGAACAGGCTTCCAGCTTTGACCCACGTCGACGTCGATGTACCTGAAACTTTCGACGCCCGTGAGCAATGGCCGGACTGTAAGTCTATTGGTCAGGTCAGGGATCAGTCCGTGTGTGGATCTTGCTGGGTAAGGAAAAATGTATTTTGTGAAGTCGAAAACTATTTTAAGATAATTTATATTAGGCTCTCGGTGCCGCTGAGGCAATGACTGACAGAATTTGCATCCACTCCGACGGTAAAGTAAAGAAGACTGTATCTGCTGAAGATTTGATGACTTGTTGCTCTTTCTGCGGTGATGGTTGCGATGGTGGTTACCTTTACCCATCCTGGACATACTGGATGGAATCTGGTATTGCTACTGGAGGCGGATACAACACTTCTGATGTAAGAAGTTGATATAACCATTTGGGCAAACTAAACAATTCTTTATAGGGTTGCAGATCTTATTCCTTTGCTGAGTGCGAACACCATACAACTGGCTCCAAACCAACCTGTGGTGATTCTCAACCAACACCAGCTTGTGTAAAGAAATGCGATGATTCGTCGATGAACTACAAAGAAGAATTGACTTTCGGTAAATCTGTTTACTCGATTACAGGCCCGAAACAAATCCAAATTGAAATCATGAAGAACGGACCAGTGGAAGCTGCGTTCAACGCATACGAAGATTTCTTACTCTACAAAAAGGGTAACTAAGCATAAAACCTTTATTAATTTATTATTCTTATGTTATAATGTTTCCTCAGGAGTTTACAAGCACCTTGAAGGTGAATATTTGGGAGGACACGCCATTAAAATCTTGGGATGGGGCGTGGAAAACGATACTCCTTACTGGTTGATTGCCAACTCCTGGAATGAGGATTGGGGAGACCAGGGATACTTCAAGATCCTGCGTGGAAAGAACCATGTTGGCATTGAAGGAGAGGTTGTAGCAGGACTACCAAAATTGGATTGAATCTAGGTTGAACGATTTTTATAACTATGCTATTTTTGTAAAATTTAAATAAAAAAAATTCTAGAAATTTGTTGATTTGTTTTCTTGTCAATATTTTCGACTTTTTCGGTATACTTAGACTTAATATTTGCTTATGTCCTGAATCTTCATGTTTATCATTGCTTTCATTGAAAGCCTTTCAACATAAAATAATTTGACCAAAGCAGTGATGACTTCCATATTTTGGACTATGTCAATACCACCTGTTTACTTAACTTGCCACCAACATTTTTTATATCACTATCTCAAGAAAAGATTGTTAGAAACGTATACTGCTTCACTGCTTCATTTTCTTGATCACTTTCCATGTGACGATATTTAAAGTTACTGGTCAACAAACTTAGCAACAGTAAACGTCATGGACAATTTGATTTCAATATGATATTTTATAAATTTAATGACGTAAGAAATGTGTGGTTTTATAATTTAAAGTGTTTGTAAAGCTAGTCGTTGTAGGACTAGATAAAATATATTTACTACCTACCTTATAGATTAGAATAAATATTTTTTTATGTGTTTAAGATGTTTTTAATATAGTTATAATTACTATTAATGGTTGAATCATTACTTAAAAACAAAATAAAAAACACATCCTCAACAAAATAACAAAGGTTATTTTTAAAACATTGTATCTCATCAGGTATAACTAATTTTTTAATTAAATTTGCTACATCATGATGCTTCATCAAAATAAAGATAAAATAATTGGTTCAAATCAATTAAATAATCTCATGTAGGATCTCATGTTCTAATTGTTTATACTTATTGATAAGATACATAAATAAATTTAGACAAATTCCTAAGGTGTATTAGTTTTTATTTAAAAAAAGTATCTAAGTGAAAGTTTGAGTTAAAAGTTGATTTTTGTTTTAAATGTTTTAAAAGTTGTCTATTGTAGTAGCACTGGAAATAGCCCGGGCTATCGCCTCCTATACATTTTTTACAAATTGTGGAATTTATCAATTCCATTAACTAACAACAAAACACCTGGAACTTCAGTTAAAACTTTGGCGAAAACATGTCCAGATGTTACATAAAATCCCTTTTCGGTTTAAGAAAGGATTTCAGAAAACATAGGCTTCCATTATTAGTAAATGTATTTGTGAAGTCAATAACACTTTCAAGATTATTTATGAAGATTTGATGACTTGTTGCTTTTTCTGCGGTGAGGGTGGTTACCTTTAACCATCCTGGACATACTGGGTGGAATCTGGTATTGCTACTGGAGGCGGATACAACACTTCTGATGTAAGATGTTGATATAACCATTTGGGCAAACTAAACAATTCTTTATAGGGTTGCAGATCTTATTCCTTTGCTGAGTGCGAACACCATACAACTGGCTCCAAACCAACCTGTGGTGATTCTCAACCAACACCAGCTTGTGTGAAGAAATGCGATGATTCGTCAAAGAACTACAAAGAAGAATTGACTTTCGGTAAATCTGTTTACTCGATTACAGGCCCGAAACAAATCCAAATTAAAATCATGAAGAACGGACCAGTGGAAGCTGCGTTCAACGTATACGATGATTTCTTGCTCTACAAAAAGGGTAACCAACCAAAAACCCTTTATTAATTTATTATTTTTATGTTAAAATGTTTCCTCAGGAGTTTACAAGCACCTTGAAGGTGACTACTTGGGAGGACACGCCATTAAAATCTTGGGGTGGGGCGTGGAAAACGATACTCCTTACTGGTTGATTGCCAACTCCTGGAATGAGGATTGGGGAGACCAGGGATACTTCAAGATCCTTCGTGGAAAGAACCATGTTGGCATTGAAGGAGAGGTTGTAGCAGGACTACCAAAATTGGATTGAATCTAGGATGAACGATTTTTATAACTATGCTACTTTGGTAAAATTAAAATAAAAAGAATTCTAGAAATTTGTTGATTTTTTTCCTGGTCAATACCCTTATGCTTCAAAAAGCAACAAGCTGGTAAATATTTGTCCTGAATTGTTGACGATTTTTATATTTTGCACTTTTCTTCAAAGTTACCAATAGCACTTTTTCACTAAACTTGCCACTAACATTTCTTATATATAACAATCTCAAGAAAAGATTGTAAGAAACGTATACTGCTGCTTTGACTTACCCTTGCTATAAATAATTGTTGTTGTACCTAACCTTTTAAATGTAAATAAAACAATGTTTATATACTAATACACTAATTATTTTATTATGTTTGATACAAAACTTATGCTAAAATTATTATAAACGCGAACTTTAATCATACACCTACATAAAAACTCTACAATTTGGGTAGACCAGCTACAACTCCACTTTCTATTCCCAAATGGTTTTTTCCTCTCAAAATTTTAAAGGTACCATTGTCACCCCAATCGGAATTCCACGAATTGGCTACCAACCAATAGGGAGTGTTATTTTCGACGCCAAAGCCAATGATTCTAATAGCATGACCTCCAAGCATTGCGCCGGTGGTATGTTGGTAAACTCCTAAAAAAAAACATCGATAAAAATGATACCCCAAAAAGTACTTACCTTTTAATTGTTTGACCACCCCAATAATAACTTACCTGTTTTGTAGTTCAATAAGTCAGCGTATACAGTAAAGGCTCCCTCTACCGGTCCATTGGTGAAGATTTCCCGCGCAATCTTGTCAGGGTTGCTGGATAGAGAGTAGGCCTTGGATCCGAAATGTTTGTCCTTGGGGTAGCTGATGGTGTAACCTTGTTCGCATTGGTGGACGCATTTGGGGGTTTTATTGTCATCCCCTGTGCAAGAAGGTCTAGTACCGTTCACGTGATGCTCACAAGGGGGGATTTCGTAGGGACGACACCCCTATAATATTAAAACAATAACAATTTATTATGATTATACACGAAAACTTACTTGTTTGGATCCGTAGGTTCCTCCAGAGACGAGTCCTTTGCGTACCCAGTAGTGCCAAGCTGCACCTGGGAATCCCCCGTTGCATCCCATCCCGCAGGTGTAACAACATGAAACCAAATCGTCAGAGGAAATGTGGACGTTGGTTTTGCCGTTTGAGTGGATGCAGATTCTGTCTGACATTGCCTCAACAGCACCAAAAGCCTAAAAACCAAAATGTAAGCATTCAGTTTTAAATGGCCCAAAAGTGAAAGTTCTAATTTATGTCATGAGGTTAAGAAGTAAGGCTTTTTGTGCTAAGCTCAAGGTTTGAAGCTGAGCGAAGCACAAAAAGACACTTCTTGGCCGAATGGCATACAACATTTTATCTTCAAAGCACTTGATATAGGTCAATTTAATTCAACATCAAAGCGGCCTAACCTTACTTTTTTAGAATCTCATTTATTTATTAGCTAAAAATTACATTAAATGTACAATAATTATTATTGCTTTTAGAAGCAGTAATAATTTGACAATACCTAGCAACATGATTTAAGTACAAATGGATTTTTGCTATTACATTGAATTCAATTAATTGTTTAATAAATAGGTAGGTATCTAATTTCAATTTGTTTGGATTTTTATTTAAAAAATAGGTAGTTTGGAATGTTTAAGCTGGTTTAACATTTAATTTCACTGAAAACTTAAAGCAAATCAAAAGATAATTTAAATCGTAGAAAAACAATCGTGCGTTTTCTTGGTTGCCTAACCTCACTTTTCACCAAATTTAATTTTACAATAATTTAATGAAAAATATTAAACATTAACAGTAAAACAAACAAATTAGTGCTTATAAATAAATTAAACCAGTTTAGTACGTTAATTTCTTAGAAAAGGATTAATTTGTCAAAACAATACCCCTAGCAAGAAAAAATCGAACTAATTACTTGCCTCATACAATTTTTTATCGGCCTAGGCCATAACAAGGTTTTTCTTTATCGAATGTTGACAACAATAAAGTTTAAATTATAGACCGCGTGGAGATAAAATAAATTGAGTTTGCCCCAAGATTTTAAAAATAAAAATATATTAAATTGTGAAGATGGCAAATTTTATTGGACATGGATTAAATCGGCCTTGAAAATTATATAAGTACCTAATTTGTTTATTTAAAATAATCATCACATTTATCAGTACACAACAAAGATTTATTGTTGTATGTAAACATCAACAATAATTTTGGATTCAACAAAAATGTAAAATTTTATTTTTTTTATCATTTTAGTCACTTAAGTTAAAACTCTTAAATTTAAAACTCATTACTCATGTTGTTTTTTTGAGATTAAATTTATATTTGAGCAACAAAAAATGCCTGGTTGATAAAAACATTATTCACCTTTGTGGTGGCTAGGCAAGGTCAAAATTAATTTAAATTTAATTTAACCACAATTCTTCTAAGAAAATTATTTATTTATGTTTTAGAATGTTCCTTTGATAATCTTCAACAACAAATATTTTGAAATATATTTATAAAACTATTTTTAATACTTTAACCAATGATTAATGCTACCTAAAAAAAAATAAATTATACACAATCATAATCATAAAAATTGAAATTAAAGTTATAGTAAAGATTTCAAAAAATACTTATATAGATTTTTCACAAAAAATGCATTTTTGAACTCAATACAAGTGGATAAAATGTTATGTCACATTTTTAATAATAGGACAGAAAAATTAAATATTTTTATTTTATAAAGAAAATCTTAAATGGCAGCATTAAAATTTTAACACTTTTTCAGAAAAGAGCGATATTTGGTCATTTATATTTTTTGTGAGGAATTTAATCAGATTATTTTTTAGTATTTATTTCCTAAACTAGTTTAAAAAATAGTGCAGCAATTATCTTAAATTATAAAATTACAACCTCCTCTAAATTCATTTTCTCATGGACAAAGCGTAACGTTTCCTGTTAATTTTTATCAAAACCAATTTTATCCCATTTTGTTTTATATATATTTTTCTACTTCCACCTTTAAAACGCCCATTATTGTACATACATGTTTCCATAACACTAAGCTGTGGCTTTATGGCGCTTTAGTCACGGGCTGTAGTTAAGATAAAGTTAGTTGACAGGATTTTTGCACCTGCACGAATGCATTTTGTTAAAAAATATTACTTAGCATTGTGTTTTTTCGATTTTTTTTCACAGGAAAAATTAGATGCCCGAATGGTATTTTACAAGACTATTTCATGAGTAACAGTTAACAATTATAGTATATTATGTATCAAGTTTGATAAACGCCATTTTATACACGAATTTAATTTAGGCACGAGCGAGCTTGCGAGCGACTGCTTAAATTAATGAGTGTATAGAAAAGTTTATAAACGAGGTGCATACTATACTTTTTCTACGACAAATACTTATTATCTTAAAATGTTTTAAATCAAAAATTTGTATAGAGCGCCATCTATGAAACAATAGGGGAATCTGTGTGTCACCGTCAAATGTCACATTTTTGTATTTTATAAACACAGATTATAAAGGTTATAAATCGAAATGTATTTCTTAAAAATTGACAGTGCCCGAATTTAAGTTATAGTTTACTGCCGGCGAAATTAAAAGGTCAGAACCACAGGTCTGTGGTCAGTACAATGTTCATATAAACTTTTTAAATATTGGCGTTGAGAAACTATTTAATACTTTTGTATTTTTGTATTGAGATGATAAAATAATTTTCACATTTAGTATTATTTTACAAGAAAGGCACTTTATTTTAACGATTGTATGACATTTGACAACTGTCAACTTAAAACTAACTTTAGCCCGTGACTAAAAACTTGTTGCTAACTTCAGCCCGTGACTAAAGGGCCATAAAGAACATGTACAATAAAGGTCGTTTTAAAGGTGGGAGTAGAAAAAAATATAAATTACAATTTTTGGTGACAACAGCTGTCAAGTTTTGCCACGGGGAAACTCGAAAAAACTGCTGACAGGTGCTGTCTACAGTTTTTCCACCTAGAAACCATTTGTAATTCAAAATTGCACGTTTGTGATTGGTGGGAATTGAGACGAGGGAAATAGTCAAGTTAATAACGAAATTCCAATAAAGACAACTGTCACTTTGTGTAGCTTTAATATTTCCCGTGTAAGAATTTTTAATACTTTGTGATAATATTTTGCAATTATAGTGATACAAAAAACAAGGATAACATATTTTCTTAACATAATCATATTTTGAAGTTATTTTAATATTTCAAAGTATTAATAATTGCTAAGTTTATTTAATTAAAATAATAACGGGAAATTTTAATGGAGACAATTACGTCAAAAACCTTTATTGTTACTTTATTTTCGTATAGATGTCGCTTTATACAAATATTAAATTTAAATCATTAATTAACTAAACTAAAATATAATTTAATATAAAAATATACTATTTTATGTATATCGTGACAACCCCGGTATAATTAAACCGCAAATGAATATTTATCGCAGCAAAACCGTTACTAATAGATAATTATGAAATAATCAAAACAACAAATTTGTGCTATCATCCAGTAAACTCACCCAGCATGATCCGCATGACCCCTGATCCCTGATCTCCTGTATGGTGGGACAGTGGGGCCACTGTTGCCTGGCGTCGAAATTTTCCGGCAGCTGCTCCTCGTCTCCCCCGATCAACTCCAAAACGGGGGGTTTGTGGAGATCGGCGTCCGGTAGCACCCCCATGAGTTTTTTGATGTACGACATCGACACATTCTCGCCGAAATTTCTGCCGGCCGTCCAAGTTTTCGATTTGGAGTTTATCAAGTCGATGAACTCGTCGGAAAGGGGGTGCAAGTCGGCCTTCAAACCCAGCACCAGAAGGGAGAAAAGGAACAACGACACGAAACGCTTCATCTGTAACAAAAAATAACAATATCAAAATTTTACTTAACCTTTCTTGAAGCCTTACCTCTGTATTGTTCACGCTTACAATGCCGCTTGGTCAATGATTTCCTATTTTTTGTTGTGGTAAATATTTGTTTTTGTTATCGCGAACAACCCGACATCCTTCGTGAAACTCGCAAACCATATAAAGAAAATCGTTTGAAGGCCTTATGCAACCAGCAACACTCTACTGTAAATTGGGTTGCTATTTTAGTATGCAGTCTTATGAGAAGATTACAAAATTATGTGGTAACTTTATATTATTGTTATTGAACCGTGTTTGATTAAATTAAAAATTGGCCCGCTAGTATCCCAAAGTTAATTCTGCATATGGAGTTTATAAAGATCTATACAATATTTAAACAGAAACTAGCTATAAACAAAGCTTACTCTGTTGGTATTGTATTTTATTAGGCTGTCAAAAACAATTGGAGTTTTGGGGGCTCTGATATTTTATTTGTTTTTTATGTATATTTTTAATCATCCATATAAATATATTTTTTAGTTCCAGATTTATATTTTAAAGTTTTAAAAAAGAATTAATGTTTTTAGTTTGGCAATTTGGGTTAAGATTGCTTTCAATTAAGAAACTGTAATGATAAAACATAAATTGTACTTATTTTGACTTTAAAAATTCTTCCAATTCCAATAGTAAATTTTTTTATTCTATAGAATAAAAATATTATATTAATAAATATTATATATAATACCTATTATATACAGGGTGAGGCATTTTACGAAAAAATGTTTAAATTTGACATTAAATGATTCGAGGGGGGAAATCAATCAGTCATAAATTGGTCTTCATAATCTCCTCCTTATAGAGGGAACAGGGGGTAACTTTAAAATTTCCCTATTTTTTATTGCAGATTCGACTAAAAATAGGTAGATTTCTTTAAAACATTTTTTCATATTTGTAATGAAAAAAAATCAATTTTGTTTGATTTTTCTTCTGTATACGCTTCTCCAATAATATTTGAATAAAATACTTGGTTTTATATTTTAAATTTATTTATTTTTGAAATTTTAATTAAAGTAGGTGCTCAAAATGGTGGTCTTTGACTTCAATGCATTTATTAATTCGCATTTCGTTTTAATATCCCCAAATCTCTATAGAGATTTATTATTAATTTAATATATCTATAGATAATTCTCGTGTGTTTGCATGAGGATTAGCGGCCGTTGCTGCTAATACATTCATTTAGTTATTTTCACATGTGCACTGTCATGACTGTTGCTCGACGAACTCTTTTTTTTTCGGTTGAACACTCCTGTTTGTAGTAAACTGAATGAAGTACGTGATCGAATTTTATCCGGAAAACGCTGAGCGTAGATATTAACAGCATCATCAAGATTTCTGCCTGCTTCTTCATAAATCAAAATCATTTATATTTTTTCTTCCACCGTTAAAAAATCCATTATGAATAACTGCTTAACGAAAGGAGGTCTTTTTGTTTACAAATTAATCTTCGAACTAAATTGATTAAATAATGCTAAAACTATAAATAGTTTCTTTATACCTCAATAATAATTATTATTTATAACTAAATACCATTTTTTTATACCTCAATTAGGGTTAAATTAATTAATTGACAAAATAATGTTTTTTTTTACCTTAAATGAGGTGTATTTTTATTAAAATTAGTACAATAATCCTTTAAATTAAAGGATTTAATGCTGGCAGGTAAAAAGTGACCATGGTGCGCAATTGATAATTATCACCGAATGAAATAATGTATAAAAATTAAACCATAGGAAACTTAAAATCGTGGGTAGGTACTTAAAAAAATCAAGATAATTATTACCAAAAAAGTGATATTTTTATAGACAATTTAAATTATTGCAGATTCGTATACAGAAGAAAAATCGATCAAAATTGATTTTTTTTCATTACAGCGCCATCTATTACAACTATGAAAAAATGTTTTAGACAAAATCTACATATTTTTAGTCGAATGATCCGAATCTGCAATAAAAAATAGGGTGTTCCATTGGAAATTTTAAAGTTACCCCTGTTCCCCCTATAAGGAGGAGAGTATGGGGACCAATTTTAGTACTGATTGATTTCCCCCCTCGATTAATTTAATTTTTATTTTAAACATTTTTTGTAAAATGCATACTAACTGAGATATTTCAAAGTTTCAAGATAAATGACACCCTGTATATATACTATAGTATACCTCTAAATCTAAATAAAACATCTATAAAAATCTCAAAATAGCTGTACCTAAACTGTGAAACCAGACACAAACGAACATATTTAACAGTAATGACTTCCCGTGGAGAGATAATTATAAAATGTGGCCGAAAATTTGAACCATCAGAATCGAATTCATGATTTAGCAGAAATCCTAAGGCATGGTGCCGATTCAAAAGAATTCCGTTTATCACGATCTACCTTTACCGGCTATTGTCTTAATTTGGGCATTTTTAGGGTAAATATGTATTCCAAACACACCGACTGTTGTGTGCTATCTAACGCTTATTAGATGACTACCAAGTATAATAGTTTTAAGTCTTGTAACACAAAAATAAAAACATGTAAGGCCGGTCGTGCAGTCAAAGGTATCTTCAGGAAGAGCCGCCATTATATGGCACGTGATTTTTGTTAAGAAAAAACTTGCTACGTGTCAGGAAACGTTATTATTTATTACGCAACGATGAATATTATGTGAAGCACGTATAAAGTTCTTCTCAAGGGTCACGTATGGAAGCTGGAAAGGAGCAAACATGAAGATTAGATGCTAACTTCATTTTTACTGTATGTTGCTGTGTAGGTTTCTTGGTTTACATTTCTTTTATTACAGTAGCAACACATTATATCTTTTTCAAAACAATTCTGCACCATCAATGAAAAATCCAACGTGTTTTCTTGCAATTTCTAATGACGTTCGCCGACAGATTTACGCTCACTTAAACGGACGAGAGACAAGAATGGTGCGTACTCGGCCCATGTATGGCACTACGCATTGGTACATACCTAGCAACGCATCAACAACATGTAATAACTTAATTTACTCACCATGCAGTCGGAATGAAGCCACCTCCATCAAAATCATTCCGCTTTATATATTTGCACATTAACATAACAGTGGCGAGATGTCTGCCTTTTATAGGATTTAACTACGACCACATCAGTGAGATGTAACTTAAATTATAAAGTCATGGATTGCCAGCAAGATTTTAACATGTAATAACTTAATTTACTTACCGTGGGTAACGTTGGAGTAAAGTCATCTCCATCAAAATCACTCCGCTTTATATATTTACACATTAACATAACAGTGGCGAGATGTCTGCCTTTTATAGGATTTAACTATGACCACATCAGTGAGATGTAACTTGTAGCGTTGTCCAAGTTAAAGGAGGATATTAAATTACAAAGTCATGGATTGCCAGCAAAATTTTAACAATATTGACAAAATTCCTGGGAAAGTTTTCGAATATATATATAGTTACTACTGGTCTATTTTGTTAGTTGGTAGAAACCAAGTATGTTTCTAGAAACTTATCCAATTTTCAAAATCATGATCTTTATGCAGCATAATTTAATGGAGTTTATGTACCGGTCGGTCGACCGCAGAGTAGGCATCCAGTACCATTGTAGTGCGCTTATGGCAACGTGTGGCTACCGTAATAAAGGTAATGTAAACCTTTCCAGCCTACGCGTCGCAGAACCACTTAAAATGGAGATATCATCTAATCTACGCTGCTTTTTGCCGTTGCTTTCGGAGAGAACACACAACCGTCATTAATCTTTTCACCCTTCGTCTTCTTACCTATCTTCATGCCGATTATACCCAGATTACCTAAAAACACCACTAATTTATTTATTTTGTTCATTTGCCACAGACCTCATCTACACTGAAAGAAATGTTTCTATAAAGCAGTATTGTTAAGACGAGTTTCATAAAGTTTTGTTAGAATCATATTCGTTTATGAAGACAATAAGCTGTGTTGTAACTATAACAGATACCATTTATTTTAATTTATAATTTTTGTAATGTCTTATGCTGTTTAATAGTCGTCTTTATACTCACAGGGGAGATGATTTATTATCTATGATGCGAACTAACCTACATCAATGATTCAACCATAATTTTCAAAAAGGACCTTATTTTGTAGACCCAGTAACAAAAGTAATTGTTGGAAATTGAGAGAACTGAAATGAAAAGAATTTTGATAAGAAATGTTGCTTTATTAATCAAAAAATTAACACATTTTTTGTTTATCTGGACTCGTGTTTTTTTGTTAGGTTGGTGGCTTATGCCAGTTTGACTTAGTATTTTTAGTATTAAAAAATGGTACTTCTGCTAAAGAATTTAATTAAATACTTTGACACTGTCAAATTGACAATAATATTTATTATTGATAATTTACTTACTTTACTACGAATTTCGACAACTCAACTGACAAATGCACAACGTAACCTACAATAACACAGTGCAACAGTGCAAAAGGGAATGGGATGAAACCAAAAGCAAATGAAAGGTAATAGCTTCAACAAAAAAACCCTATGAGGTTTTTTTTAGATCACGTCTCAGTTTTTTATTATACGCATTTAAAGTTGGTAGATTTTTGGACACCCTATAATAGGAAAAAAATAAGTAAAACAATTTTAATTTTTTAAAATTATTCTGGCAATATAGTCGACGAATCCATTCCAAGTAAAGAGCATAAAGGGCATTTTTATATAAAAAAAATATTCTCTTTAATGCTTTAATCAAAACACAATACTTATATATTATACAAAAATTACATTTTTTGTGGTAATATATTGTAATATATCGATGGTATTTTTGCAAAAGGGCAAATATGCTATTTTCCTGTTTTGATAAAAACAGAAAAAAAGTATTTCGGCGTATTCGCCCTTTTAAAAAAATATTATTACTACAAAAAATTGCAGTTTTTGTAGCAAAGGTTGTTTAAAGGTAAAATTGATTTGTTTACTTAAAAACACATAATATTATGTACTATATAGTAAATCAGTGACAGCAACATAAAACGTTTTTCTTAATTAATATATTTAATTATATTTTTTTTTTATTTAAAGGACAATATAATATAAAACAAAACTTAGTTCCAAAATATAAAAAATTGTACCTACAATATTACGGTATATATA